ATACCAAATATTGTTTAACCCTTGAGGACAAGGTTGCTGTTGACAGAAGAAAAACATGTTTTGCAACTCTGAGGCGATGTATCCTTACATATATTAACGGACGATAGCCAGAACTTGAATTCACCAGAAAAGAAACAACTTGTAGCAAGATGACAGGGGCACTAGGCGAGAAACTGATAAAAGATGTTATCATTCATCACAGACCTGGAAAACAATGTAAAAGTAATGATTGCAATTAGGAGACAAAAGAAGATTAATGACAGTACAACACGAATGATAATTTTAGAATATATTTAGCAGATTTCAGACAGACGACAACTCTCTAGCTAGAAAATTATCTTCATTAGCCAGCCCTCCTCCGCATAGAAAACTCTCGGTCCATACCACTATAACACACATGCCTCAGTCAATCATTAGTGAAATCAGAGCTGAAATATATTAATGTTCTTCGTGTTCTCAAGGGATTAATGTCAACGAATAAGATATGCGATGAAATATCGACTTATAAGCGCAACAAAAAAAAAATTATCGTTTTCCTTTTTCCACTGTCGAGATATAATCAAAAGATGACACTCTTCATAATGGATGCTTGTTATGAGATGAGCTCGATTAACTTTCTGACTTTATAAGTTTGGTAAAACAGTCTTGACAAAATTAAATATTTCTCGAATATTGTTAAGCGACTATAATATGTAGTTATAGTACTATCTATTTGTTGTCATTAAAAATTTCCCAGGGCAAAGTTTGATGAGGAAATAACTCTTTTGAATAAGGAAATTGAATTGACATATGTGTATGGTATTAAGTGATAGATGCATTATACACTACTAAATATGTGCCGAGCTACATTCAAAAAACAGAAATAGCAATAATCTTTTATTGCTATCTGTTGCTTCTTCAGCACATGGCCTATATAATATATCTGACGTATTACCACTCATGTAGTAATGGAATCAAAATTACTGCTTTCTTGTTTTCAACAACATTAGCACCATTAATAAATGAATTTCGTTCTTTAGATAATTTTTAGGCATTCTGCAATGAGAATTATTCAAACAGCGTGAAACAAAATTGACAAAGTTTTTCTAATTTGTTCGAAATTCATGTAATTAAATAAAAGAAAACGCAAACAATATATTTTGATTTAATTTCTATATAATTTCTCAATGAATTCTCATTGTTCAGGTTTGTTCAATAATGAAACATATAACACAAGTATTCATATGAGATCTAATAACAATAGTATTTCAATAGACAGACTAAGAAAAATAAGATTTGTTATTCATTTATTTTGAAGGTAAAAAGCAATCTTTGTTGTTTTCTCGTTTGCTTAATATTTCTCTATAGATGCTTATTCATCAATTTCCGTTAATATATTACAGTAATAAATCAAGCAGTAACACAAATATTATTCTTAATAAATAGCGTACTATTTATTATCTATAGATATATAAAACATCCTTATTAGTTTATTTAATTTTTTAGACATAGAAAAACAAAAAAAAAGCAAATATTGATATTTGAATTTGTTTTTTTTTTTCTTTAATAGAATTCAACAAATTCAATTACTTGGTCGAGATTTACGTGGAGCTGATCATGAAAATTTATGGAATCAACTTGAAGCTGAAATACATTTACATCGTCATAAAACTGTTATACGTGCATGTCGTGGCCGAGAAAAAGTTAATAAAATTTTAACAATGCCACCAGGACATGTAATTTACATATTTGTGTTTTCTTTTTTTTCATATTTTTTTTTGTTCAAATAGGATTTTAATTCATTAAAAAAACGTCATGGTGTGGGAGAAATACGTACAATTCAACTTCATAAAGATGCTAAAGAAGCGTTAGGAATATCAATAACAGGTGGAAAAGAACATGGTTTACCTATTCTTATTTCTGAAATTCATGAAAATGGTCCTGCATGGCGTAGTGGACAACTTTATGTTGGTGATTCAATATTAGCTGTTAATAATCAAGATTTACGTGATGCTAAACATAAAGAAGCTGTTCAGATTTTATCATCTATTGTATGTTGATTGGAAAATAAGAAGACAAAATATTTAATTTAATTTTTTGTTTTCCTTTGAATAGAAAGGCGGTATAACATTAACAGTTGTTTTTGTTGCACCTGATGATAGTGATGATGAAGATTTAACAAATTGTGAAGTTGATAATCATTTAAAATATAAATTTATCACTGATGAAACGGAACATAATCAAGTGAACAATTTTTCATCAAGTGATATCGAATCAATTCATCGTATGAAAGATTTATCTATATCAAATGGTATTCAAAGAAAAAGTATTCCAGAACAAACCGATGGAACAGATACAGCAAGTATTGATAGTTACCAAAGGTATTTAATTAAGTCTTATGTTTATAAATTTTTTTGTAAAATTTTTTTTATTTTCCTCCTTATAGAGATGGCCCATCTGTGATTGACAGATATATTAAACATACTCAACAATATTTACCAGTTAAACGTACAGATTCGAAAGATTGATTAATGTCTAGGCAATTAATGAGGAACATTGATCTCAAATTCCTTTTGTTTTGTTTTTGTTTTGTTTTAAAACTTATTTATTCATTGTTATTGTACTTATTCTATGCAGACAAATATAAATTCTAACCGGTAGAAATTTAATGAAAAATTAACAAAAAAAAAACATTGTATGTGATAGACGATCTTTTTTTTTTAATCTATTTGTTCTTAACTCATATCATTTTCACTTGTCAATTTTCCTTAATTAAATATATAAATATCATATTTTAGAACAAAAAAAAAGAAACAAATACACACACACACACACACATATTGTTTTATGTGGATATATTTATTTAATATAAGATTTTTTTTTTTTGTTATTTAACGAACCTTTTTTCTTTCTCTGCTTGTTAATGAATAACATGTTTTAGGCAAAAAAAGCTTTGTAATTATGATCGTTATGTATGATTAAAGAAAAGATAGACATTAAATGAAAGAATGCACGTGTTGGTGTATGCAAATAGTAAATACAAATCAATATCGAACATAAGTTTTGCATTAAAGCTTAATCAAAGCTGTTGCTTGGCTAGTAAATAGAAAAGAAAAGGAACAAAATTCTCTCCAAGTCTTCTAATGATTGCGGATCACACAATCTTTTTCTCTGTGTATAAAGTATTTTTTTTTTCTATTTGGTTTGCATGTTATTAGGTTTCAAGAATCACGTTATATAGGTAAGGTACAGAGCGTCGAACAAATGATAAATACGTTAAAGTCGTGATAAAAAATGGTATTTGAACAACGATAAATTCCATCGATTAATGAATTCCTACATAAAGTAAATAAATATTTCATGTTATCTTTCATAGTTCTCTTCCTAATCGTCTGAAAGATATTTCATAGGCAATAACTATCTCTTAGCAGGTTATTTGTTGGGTACTTCCCGTCAATCATTTTCCTTACTATATGTAGATATATATATATATATATATATCGAGTGATAACTGGTCAACATAGATTCAGAAGAAAACGCAAAGCACAACAACAGGAAGTATATTAGACTAGTATCTCTCGGTCCCATATAAACTTCGTCTGGTTATAATGCATTTATGACTAATGACGATGATCGTCAGTACCAAAACAAAAATTATTACTTAGTAACTTTCGAGAAAAAACTATTGTAACTAGTATTTTGTAAGCTTTTCATCGTTTCTCATTGCATTCCGTCATCTGATAAGAACGTATACAGCAATATTCTAAATCATTACAATAGACTATTGTTTCTTTCTTTTTTTTTCTTTCGTTCCATCTATATCAACTCTATTTATTATTAGTATTGGTTTTTATTTCGATGGGACTATAATTGTTCTTCGAGACTTTTTCATGTATGTCGTTGATAAAATTAACCAATGAATGAATAGATCAAGTAATGTCTAATATTTGTCAAGATTAAATTCTGAGAATTGATTTATTTTTCATTATTTCTTATTATATTATGACAAATGAATAAAAGTAGACTTTTTTTGTTTTTATTCTACCTTTAATATTATCTATGCGCACATATAATATAACTATATCTGACAAGCGATAAATACCGTTACTATTGCTAAAAACAGTTTGTTGGTAGCAACATAGTAAGATATTTGGTTAGTGTATATCTTCATCTCTGCCGAGAGGAAAACAATGAGACTCGAGGTAGAATTTCTCTCTTATGAGAGCAAATATAACAGCTAAGAAGAGACATAAATCATTTATGCTAAAAACATTTCTAATATAGACGATTGAAAGCAATCATAAAAGTCTTCGTTCATCATCATAGATACCACTAAAAGAAAAAAAAATTTACATTTTATATGCTGTGTAATAGTGCCATTTTTATGCTTTTGTCTTTTGCTATTTGTTCTAGAATAAGATTAAATTAGATCATCACGCAAACACGTTCGCATCTGAAACGTCCACATACATACATTCATACAAAACTGAGAATCACACGCTTTTATATTCATGCTAGAATCAAATATTAAAGTAAGAAAGAACAAAAAAAGAAAGAAAGAAAAAATCCGTCAAAAGATATGTTATGTATGATATAATATCAGTAAATAAATCATATTCTGAGATATAAAAACATCATAGTGAAGTTAATACCCGCTGTTTTTAATTTAGTGCGTTTGAGAAGATCGATTACTTAGCATTTTTCGTATTAAATCGTAATTTCTTTTATTATTAAAATTTTATATTTGCGTTTTACTATAATTTTTTTTTCGTTCTACGACGAAAAAAAAACCTCTTAAACAAGTCCCCTGTTCTTCATAGACGTCTAGATGTTTCATTGATATAATAGTAAATAGATTTTTTTTTTCGTTATCTATACATTCATCTATATTGACATTTTAGCAACTAGAAAAACAAATTTAGTCTTAATGTGCTCGAAAACCTTACTGAATCATTGATTCAAAATAATTTATCATGCATCAACGGCCTCAAAGCATTCATGCAAAGAGTAAAACGTCGTCAATGAATAATCACCTGTCGAATAATCGACGACAAAAGAAGTCATTGCGTCGAACATGGTCTCATCGTTTACCATCGTTTGCGACAGATACCGTTAAAATGGTTGTTGCTACTATGCAATTAACTAATACGACGACTAATTTAAATAAGGAATACATCAATAATATTCCTGAACATGAACAATATGATGATAATGATGATGGTGATGATGATAATATATTTAATATTGGACAACAAGTACAAGCACATATTCCAGATATTGTTTTAAATAATTTAAATGATTTAATTGATCGTCAAGGTAATATATCAATACCAAATGAACATAAATATGATAATACAACATTATTATTTCTTGATGTATCGGGTTTTACATCATTAACTGAACAATATTCTAATGATGCACATTTAGGTATTGATCAATTAACACGTACATTAAATTCTTATTTCGATAAACTTGTTTATGAAATTTTAACACATGATGGTGATATATATAAATTTGCTGGAGATGCTATACTTGCATTATGGACAAATGAAACAACAGGTTCACAACAAGCATTAAAATGTGCATTACATTTGCAACAAAAATGTGGGGCTTATGAAACTGATGTAGGTGTTATATTACGTCTTAAAGTAGCACTTGCATATGGACCTGTATGTGCTATATTTGTTGGTACAGATGAATTTAAACATTATTTATTAACAGGTAATTGTGTTAAAGATGTTAATATATGTGAACAATTATGTGAACCTGGTGATATTATTTTAACAAAAGCTGTTTATGATAAACTTAAAGAAGTATCATTTAATTGTACATTTGTATCTGTTAGTGATGATATTGATCCTAAACACGAACATATTGCTGTTAAATATTCACAATCAAAAAAAACATTAGATGAAGATTCTGATTTAGAAGAACATATTAGTAATTCAGCAGTGATAAATGATAGAATGGTATGTTATTATATTTGAAATATATTCAGTTCTAATGAAAGTTTGAATATTTTTTGTATATCGATTATTAAGAATTATCGATAAGTTATATAAACAATTATATAAAACTTTAGTTTATGATGATTAGTAATGATTTCTTTTATCAATACATAAGTATGAATGTATAGAATTTTACCTGCATATGAATAGGACAGTTTTGAAATTGAAAAACGGATTTATCCTACTTATATTTTTATTAATAATAAACGAAAGAGAACAATAAAAAATGTATCTATGTTGAATTTATTGAGATGAATAAGAAAACTATTTCTAAATCTGTACGAAAAAAAAAAACACATTTTTTTAATCTTGATGTTAAGATCAAAATTAAATATTTGGTTTCGCCTACATCCTATTTAAAAGTATTATCTAATCTTATATATGATATAAGCCAGATGATGAAAATATTTTCAATCGATTTCAAATAAAATTATTTATTAATTCTATTTGTGCCTAAGGATAGATCGAAGAAATAACTCAACGAGAAAAAATATATCATTTCGAGTTCTAACGTCTGAATGAGTACCAATGTCAAGTATTATCTCATAATATGACCTTCAAGTGGATAATCTATTCGTAGTCTAAGGAAATCAATGTATAAAAGATATAAATTTAATTATTCGACAGACCAAATTCAATCGTTATATTGAAAAAATTATAACATCGAAGTAATCATATACATCGAATTCGAATACGAGAAGATGATCTATCTACATAGAATTATAATCGATCCATCCGACTTTTTTCTATTAGTTTAAGATTATGAAAGTAAATTGATTTAGTTTTTTTTCTGTAAAATATAAATAAATATTTTTACAAACATTAAAATCATTGCCAAGTCTAAATAGAAATATAAATCAGTTTAGAAAACTTCCAATTAATTATCTAATATAACAATAACATACTATACAAATTATATGTCACAAAATAATATATGAAACAAAACATAATTATAAATAAACAAACAATAATTTGAAAGGTTTCTGTTCGATAGAAAAACAAGCACTTGATTTTCATGTTGTATGGCTCAGATTATATTCACATAATATAATTCTACAAAATAAATAATTCTTACCAATTACCTATTTTCACATAATGATTTCCCGATAGAAATAAACTTATCAAAATAGATTATAGCTGGAATTTTATGATAAGCTATTCCTTTGAGGTACACGAAAGCAATAAAGCATTCCACATAGAATTGTTTATGTATAAAAAAAATACTTTCTTTTGTTTGTGTTTGCTCTTTTGAATAGGACATTTCTAATCAAGAAATAACCTACGATAATAATAACAATAATAAACAATCGTCTGAAAATGATTTATCAAATAATGAACTTAATCTTAAAATTGATTCATTAATGAAATCATTTTTATTACATTGTGTTCATCAACGTATTGAACGTAAACAATCATTAGATTATTTATCTGAATTACGTCGTGTAACAATATCATTTATTAATCTTAATATATCAAGTGAACAAACAATAAATGATAATTTACATGAAAATATTCATAAAATATTTGTACAAATATATAAATTAACTAAAATGATGGGTGGAGTTTTAACAAAAGCATTATTATTTGATAAAGGTTTTTCATTTTTATGCGTTTTTGGTTTACCTGGTTATAAACAAGGTGATGATACAGCTAATGCACTTAAATCTGCACAAATGATTCATTCAACAATTCGAGATCAATATCAATTTGTTGAAAACTGTTCAATTGGTGTAAATAATGATAAAAAAATTTTTCTTAAAAATACATTGTTTTATTTTCGTTAGGTTAGGTGACAACTGGTCTTACTTATTGTGGTGTGGTTGGACATACAGCACGATGTGAATACACAGTTATTGGTCGAAAAGTAAATATGGCTGCACGTTTAATGTGTAATTATGTAAATATAGTTTCATGTGATCAAGAAACATATTATAATTCACGTTTAAATAGTCGATATTTTCAAAAATTACCTATTAAAACTTTAAAAGTAAGATGAAAAGAAAAGATTTTAAATTAAAAAACAATATATATATATATATGTTTTTTGAAGGGAATGAATGATGTTGGACTTATTTGGCAGTATGATGATCATCCTGAATTACCTCAAATGATCGAACAAAATAGAGCACCTAATTTTCAAATAAATGAAATAAAACAAGAATGTTATCCATTATTAGGAAGAAGAGTTGAATTAATGATTGTTGCAGCACAAATTATGTTACTTGATGAACCAGTTAATAGTTCAAATAGACGAAGAGATCTTGCAGCTATTATCTTTGAAGGTTAGAAAATAGACATTTTTTTGACATTCTCACTCAAATCATTCTTTCGAATAACATGATTGTCATTTCAAACATGTTTTACAATAAAAAATTGTCTTTCATATCTATTAGTAATGATCACAAGAAAAAACAACGAATCTTCGAAATCCGTCTGAACATATTCAGTACTAGCAATGTGAGAAATTGGGACCAGATCAGGAGCAGAATCACTAGAAAAGAAGCTACTAGAATCAAAATCCAAAAAAACTAAAATCACTATGGGTAGAACCTCTAAGAAGAAGCTACCGCGGGACCGGGATGAGTGATAAAAAATGCCGGAGCCGAAACAAAAACAAGACCTGTCCCTCGCACATCTCTACTCAATACTCTTATTTAGTAAGGAAAAAGTTAATAGAAAACTGCTATCAATCTTAATTGATTAGATAAAAAACTGTATTCATGTCAAGAGAAAACGAAGCCTTTAGTGTTAATGCTATTTATGATGACAGTCCATCATTGTAATACATGTTGTAAAGTAAAAGAAATGTCAATAAAAAAAAAAGTTCTAGCTGTTTCATATTCCATGATTATGTATTTTAGTTTGATCTGATTTAATAAATCTATTTTTCATCGTAGGTGAAGATAAAATCGGCCGAAGTCGTTTATTACAATTTATAGCTAATTCATTAGAAAATTCAACAAATGTTCATAATATTTCAACTTTTTCTCATTATGATGATACATACATTCCAAATGATTCAACAATAAATACTAATAATACAATACTACCAGTGTATGATACTGGAGCAAGACCAAGATCATCATTGGGCAATTATTCTAATGATTGTTCAATAATTAAAAAGCCATCCACACAAGTTATTAATTATCATTGTCAATTTGAACAGCGTTTTAATGAATTTGGTTTATTACGTTCGTTATTAAGACAATTATTACAATTTCATAATGATGATAAAAGTCAACATGAACGTGAACAACATCTTTTACGTTTATTTGATATAAGTAAAGCAAATGATTTATATCTAAGACGAAATTTATTTGTATTAAATGATCTACTTGATGTTAGATTTCGATGTAGTCATATTGAAACAGAAAATACTAATGATAATAATTTAGTTAAAACTTATGAAGTCAATCTAAATGAATTACTTTTACATATTTTAAATAAACTTATTGAACCACAAAATAATATTGGAGAATTATATACACCATCATCAACAACAGGAAATACAATGAATACATCACAGTAAATTAAATTTTATCTATAGTTTATAGTTTTTTTAAATAACTATATCATATAGTATAAAAATCAATGAAATTTACAGCAATAGAATGAATTAAATATAAGATTATAGAAATATCTTTATGAGTAAACTACCGAGTATTTTTTTATAAATACTCTTTCATAATTTACTTATTTTCTTTCTTTTCAATAGATAGATTTCGACAATTCATGAAATAAATGTAAAGCATTTGTGTACATAATCTTCTTCGTTTGAGAATGTGTCATTTATTAAACATTTATGTTTTCTTATAAACTTACTTAGTAAATAAATTTAGTCGAGTTTATATCGACACTATACTGAGCAGAGTAGTTGAGAAAAGGAAAGTTTCCGAACTGATTAATTGCTTTTGAGTCGAAATTATATGTGTCATGTAGATCCTAATGAGCTATAAATATTCTAAAAAGAATTTGTGTTGTTAACTTATTGCTGCTGAGATACTGCATCTTTATGATATTTTTTAATACAATGTCGTAATTCCTTTTTGACACACAAGGGAAATTAATTTCAGAATTTCGACTTTAAACTTTGTGCGGACATACGTCTTAGTGAGAATAATTCATTGTGAAATTATTAAATCTTTTCGTTGTTCGTATGCTACGATACGGTTATAGCAAAAAGCGTGTCCTTGATAGTGCTCATATACACAAGCAGATTCGATATTGCTATTACAAAAAAAAGGAGCAAACCAAAAGACATGATGGTGGAGTGTGAGATAAAGGTATAAGACATAATTTCTCTTCAATATCTTTCTAGTTTGGACATTCTTCCTTTTGGTCTTTCTACGAATAACCAAAACTACCATAAAAATCCAATAGTCTCACAACAATAAACTAAAGATCCATACTCTTTTCCAGATATTCATAGCTTATTAGAGCCTATATGATATAAATAGTTCCCACTCAATAGCACTTAATCAATCGAAGAACTTTTCTGGTGAAATAAATCTTAATTATATGCATTCTATAGTTTTTTTTTCTGTGAGTCTTATTACTTTACTACATTAACAGAACTTAATCAACTTGAATCAAGATAATTAACAATGGGAAATTTTTGAAATCTCAATGAATTTTTATCGATTCTGATGAATCATAAAATGCTTAGATATTCATCTAGATCAATGAAGAATCAGCTTATTTTTCTTTTCAATTATTTTCTCGTTACAAGTTTTTGTTAACATATGTTCATGAATTTCTTGTTTTAGTCCGCCTTATGTCCAATCTCATCCTTCAATTTGTTCAGCAACAAGTATAACATGTTCAACTATTTCAACTATATCAAAAATAATCTTTATTATTGATGATATTCATTTTGCTGATAAAAGTTCTCTTAAACATTTACTTACATTAGGTAGTCATAGTAGATGTTTATTAATTCTTTCAATGAAACCACCAAGAAATAATCATAATGATGGATCAATATCAACTATTCTACAATCAATAAGTACAGATTCACGTGTTTATCTTCGTCGTTTACCTGGTTTAGAATTACGTTACTTAGCAACACTTGGTAAAAAGAAATAATAGCAAATATTTAATTTAAAAAATTTATTTTAAATTTCAATTTTTTCTAGCATGTCAAATGTTATCTGTTCATCGAATTCCAGCTAAACTTGTTAAAGTATTTAATGAAAGTTGTAATGGTATACCTGGTTTTTGTGAACAAATCTTATTTGATTTGTTAAGTAAAGATAAAATCTATATTGTTGAGGATAATAACAATTCATATGATGATGATCCAAGTTTAATTGAAGGTGATGCTGATAAACTTTTATTAAATAATCCAATAAGAATAGGTTTATTTAAAACGTTTTTTTCACGTCGAAAACAACAAATAACAAATGAACAACGTCAAAATGAACGTGCTTTTTCACGTATATGTTTATTACGTAATCCAACTGAAAATGATTTTAATGCTGATTGTCAACAAAATTTTCAAAATTATATTATGTGTCGTATTGATCGTTTATCGGAAGGTGAAAGTCTTCTTGTTAAAATAGCTGCTGTTGTTGGTAATACATTTTCACGAATGTTTTTATGGCATTTAGTTGATCCAAATTCAAAACAATTAATTAATATTAATTCATGTATATTAGAAATGATGCAACGAACAATAATTGAATGTGCTTTTAGTAAACAACAAATAACTAAAACACGTTCAATTAAATGTTATTGTTTACAAAATCCAGGTGGTTTTCCATCACAATGTCGTCTTATGGCATTTACACATTCAACAATACGTGAAGGAATATATAATTCATTAACAGATGGTTTGAAACGTTTATTAACACGTAATGCTATTGATTATTTAGAAAACCAATGTACTATTGTTTGTATAACATGTGCAACAAATAAAAATGATAGTCCGTTTCTTGTTGATGAACAAGATGGTTTAGCTAAAATTATTAAAAATAGTCAACAACATGCTTTTGTTGATATTGTTAAAATAGCTGCATTAAAAGAAATTGATAATACTATTAAAAAATTATCAAATATAAGTAGTTCTCCAAAATATTCACATACGAAACGAACATCATATGGTATACCTGAAGTCTATACAGAATCAAATGAAAATGAAACGACTAATCAAACTAGAAGGTAATCATTATCATTTTAATTCAATTAAAAATTAATTTAGTATCGAAATTTGATATGTATATGATAGAAATCAGACAGAAGAACATGTCTGTCTTTCGACTACCTCATGATAGAGGATGCTGCGCGCTTACAAGAAAACTTCTTTAGCTATTTTCTTTCGATTTCAATGATTTTTGGTCTGTAGATACTACATAGTATTCTAATAAAAATTCTAAAATGATTTGGGTTTTTATTGGAATTCAATTGAGCTATTGATTCTTATATAGGCTTGTTTCTGCAAGTACCAGTTTTTCGAAAAACTCGGATTTTCGAATTTAGATCTGAAAATTTTTTACAAAGAGTGAATTCAGCTAGACTACCTTGCACAAAAAATTCAGGAGTTTTAAACAAAATCCCTTTGAGATATGAGACTTTCAAGATATAGATCCTTTTTTCATTGATAGTACATAAGACATGCATTTTTGAAAACTTTATATCTCGAAGTGGCTTTGTTCAAAACTTGTGAATCTTTTTATGTAAACTGATTGGGTTAAATTCGCTATATACACAAAGTTTCAGACCAAAAGTTCGAAAATACGAGTTTTGTGAAAACCTCAGACCCTCTAGAAAATAGGCATATTAAAAAGTCGATAGCTTTGGAAAGAAATCCAATTTGTTTTACCATTTTTATCAGAATACCTTTTTGTTATTTTATACTCAAGAAGAAAAAAAACTGAAACTTCAGAAGTGCATCCTTCACGTTTTCTCTTGAAGTACTGAACTCTCCATTTTTCATCTTGATTAACACCATATTAGATCTTGATTAAATAAAAAAAAACTGCTCTCATATTCTTCTTCTTCGTCACGCATGCAGACATATAAATAAGAGCAAAAAACCAGAGTGTGCATCGAAAGTATCTATATACTGTGAGATGTCAAAAAGTACAAAGAAATATGAAGAACATGTAAAGAAGGATATCAAACGGGTATAAGTGATTCAGGATCAAAATCATCAATATTCATTCCAATGCGATTAGCAAAACAGTTTGGATCAGAAAATGGTTTACTTTTTTCAATTGCTTTCTATTCAATAACTAAATTAATTGCTCGGAAACTTATATGAACAATTTTTTTTTAAATCAACTGAAGACGATGTTGCTAGCTCTTGTTAGCATAAGATGCATTCAATGTAAGGGTTTACATCAGTAATTTTAAAATTACTTTTTACTCTCGAAGTAAAAATGTTAATTCTTAATAGCAGAGCCAGAGGAAATTTGAAGTTATATATTAAAATCTTCACAAGTCTGAAGAATGCAAACGAATATTTCTATTTAATATTTTCTTTTTGAAATAGTTCTAACAATGATGAAGATAAACGTCGAAATAGTGTTGATTCTAACAATACTGAATCACTACATCCAAAAGAAACTGTATCTCGTTTCTATTCTGTTGAACATGATGATGTTACTAATGAAAAAAAAACACATCTAAAGACTCCTCGATTATCGCGTCATAATTCACATGATCCAACATTAACTTTGATAAGTGTTTATTCTCCTAATATGTCATCAACTATTCAATTTAATGTTCGACGTTCATCATCATCATCATCAGTAAGAAAACCAAGTCAATTTTTTTCTTTATTCAAAGTACCAAAACAACGAAGTATCTCTAAATCTCTATCAAATACTCAACTGTTACAAACAGTTGATGGAGTTGTATTAGATGATAATACAAATCAAACTAAAACTAATCTTACAATTGAAATACCAAAAACAACAGAACAAAATAAAAATAATCGTTTTATTTCATTTTTTCAATATCTTTTCTGTCAATGTGTACCAATGGGTTCGAATGCAACCGTAACACCTGCTATTAATAATAATCAAACAAAGAATAATAACAATTGTTTAAATCAAATTTCTGCAACTAATACATCTACACAAGTAGACAATCATCCGAAGGTAAAACAATCAAAACTCACCAAATATTTTCATTATAAAAAATTCAAAATATGTTTCAATCGGAAGCTGCAAATTCATGTTTTTGTGAATTCGGAGCTAATAGAAGCTAAATTTCTGGATCCGTACTGAGACCCGCCGCTTCCTACAGTTCAGATTTTTCTTTAATCAAATGAAAATAAACTATTGTTTCTAATCATTTTCATAAAAATTCATGTTTGATATTTTATATGTAACTAAACTATTTATTGAAGATTGTATTTTCACTGGGAAGCATAAATCAGAAATTCTTCAATATCTTTCCTTCATTATTGATGGATACATGTCCGATTTACTTTTGAAAAACATTCTCAGTTAATTCTTGTGTTTTTACATTATGATTCCTATATGTTATTTGTATTGAAAAATATCATTTCAGCGATTTTATTGACAAATACAAAGGTTTTTTAATTTTCTTATGCTCTTCCTATTTTGTCTTCATTCCGAAAATTTTGTAAATAAAAAATTCTTTTTTTAAACTTTTCTTAAAGATAATACAAAAATTTAGAGAATTCCCGCCCGAAAAAACTTCAGCTATTTTCAAGAGGTAAGTCAACAATGTAATATTCAGTTCTGTTACGTTTTAGACTGCAATTTTTTCTTCTATTTAAAATCTTTCTGAGCTTTCTAGCATATAAGTCGACCGAACAATTTTTGAAACAAGGAAAGAAAAAGCCGAGAAAAAATTTTTAGCATTGAATATCAAAGTTTAATTCATTATGGGATTCTACTGGAAAATTTATTGGGAAGGTATGCAAGTCAACTTAGCACACTCGTGATATTCACTATGTTACAAACCTATAGAATAGTTCAAAAGATTTTAAAAACTCAAGCTGACAAACTACCTTTCAGATGATGAGTTTTTCGGGGAAAATTCTCCAAAATACCATAGTTAAACAAGTGAATTATAATACATTCGAAAGTACGACACTTAAGCTATTCAATAATATATAAAACTTAGAATAAAAATTCAAATTTTCAAGTAGAAGTAGAGAAATTTAAATTAGAGTTTTAATAAAATTATAAATATTCGAGAAAAAAAATCTTTTAGGAAAATGTAGTTGCAAATAAACGTTCATCTAATTGGATGAAAGTTCGCAGAGCAGTCTTACCAGCTCATGGTAAAAGTCTTCGAACAATACCAAACGAAGATGAATTACTTGAACGATCAATATTTTCATTGGAAGCAATGGAACAAATAACGAATGATATTAATTGTTTAAATAAACAAGTTCATTTAATACGAACATTTAAAACTTTATATGATCAATCACTTACATTTAATGTATTTCAATCATATGTTCAACATAATAATTTAATTCAATATGTTTATGAACTAAAACAAAATGAAGAAGAAAATCCTGATTTAAATAAATTTGTTAATGAATTTAATTCCTATAATGATTTACGTACATGTGAATGTATTGATTATGTTATGACTATTTATATTAAATTAGTTGAATATCATACAAATCTTTATGATATATATGAAAAAATGGTTGATGATAAACGTGATATACGTTCAAAACAATTTGATCGTATTATGTATTATCGTATTGAAATTTGTGAATTATTATTACGTTGTAATTGTTTACAACGTTTATTAGTTGAAATAGAAACTGCAAAAAAATTTATAGAAAATTTTCAAAATGATACAAAAGATCAACAAAATTTTATATATGAATATCAATTTTTAATAACTAAATATACATATGATCTATTTCAAGCTATAGTTTTACAACGTACAAGAGCTATACATGATTCAAAGCAATTATGTGAACATAATTTAAAAGAATTAAATCAAGCATATGAAAATAAAATTTGGGAAAACTTAATATCATCAACAGAATCATCTGATTTATCATCAGCAAATGATAAAAGAAAACAATTTAGGCATAGTAAGAGTGATCTATCAAAAGATTCTTCGTTAGAGTTTAATTGTAATAGTCAATCATCTACAACACCAGTAAGTTATTATTTTTAATCAATTTATTCTTAACTATGATTTAAGTAATCAAATGATCAGTTAATAATATATGCTTAGCATGTTGTTTTTATCCGTATAAGAACATGGATGTAGATTCGAATGCGTTGTCATTTGATTCACATTCACATGTTGTGCTTTAGTTTTATAAACAGTGCAACGTCATTTTCCTGTCTGCATGAGATAGCAGATTATCAAGGTCGACGACGCTTGGTAGTCTGGTATTTATAATTAAACTATTCTTCCGTTATCTGCATATTTATTTCTAATTGATGCTTCCGTTTCATTAATATTACCAAATATAGCTTCGTTAACAAAATATTTTGATTTATTATTTTTTTGGCAAGGTCTTTCGTTTCTATTTATTTCATAATTTCTAAATTGAAGCCCGAGAAAGGACAATGAAAAGTGACGCATACTATAAAACATTTCAATTTCTATACTCACTAGTTGATTTAATTGATCATTAGTAAATTTTATTAGCCGATTATTTAAATCATTTTATTGACTAAATATTTTCTTTCATTGATTCTCTGTCTTAAATATTTAGAATTCGGATCAGTTTTGCCTTTTTGATGGTAAATATCGCCTTGAATATTTATTATGTCAATATAATCTTTTACAATTTGATTTATCTCGTCAGCAATCAATTGATTCTATAAATACATTAATAGAGCTACAATACTATACATTTCCATTATCATTTTCTCTTCCATGTACAATAACTCTAGTTGAATATTTTTATTGTCAAAATAATTATAATCAATGTTTAACATTAATCAATAAAATAATTCATTTTTGGTGGTCATATACAAGTCCACGTGAAAAACTTGAGTTCGCTAAATTAAAATGTTTATCATTAATAATTGAATTACAACAAGGTTCACTTAATTCAGCTATATTATCAGGTTATTTTGCTAAACGTATATTAACTGGTTATCATGAAAATATATTTCTTATACAATCATGTATACATTTAACATTAGCATTAGTAGGTGAAATGTGTATATCAAATGTTGAATTAATTCTTCAACATTTAGAATATTTAAGTGAACAAACAATAAATTGTTATACGAAACTATGGTATTATATATTAGTTATTGATATTTCTATTGAACTTGGTTATGAATTATTACCAATAACAAATGATTTACTTGAAAATATAACAAAATATCGTAAAAAACTTCTTCCAGGTTCAAATGAAAGAAGTATATTACTTGTTTATAGTGATTGTACATTAGCACAAGTTTATGCACGTTTAGGTTTATTAAATTTATCAAAAATACATTTTCATCAAGCTTTATATCAAATAAAATATGATCAAATGCATTTGTCTAATACTGATTTTCGTTTTAAACGTTCGTTATTAAAATTAGTTGAAATACAATTATTACATTGGTACCATAGAAAAGAACATGAAGAAAATGAAATGCAAAATTATTTCTTATTAAATTATCTAAATGAATTTAAAAATGATGAATTTACATCATGGAATAAATCAAGATTTTTTATCTATCAAGCTTATTATGATAGATTAATTAATGATTATAATAGACACAAAAACTTTTCCATTGATGTAAGTTTAAATTTGAATTGAAAACTTTTCAAAGAAAACCGAAAATCTTAATCTAAGTCAATTGGGATCTGGTTCTTTTGAAAAGATAACATTACACCCTAGAAAAAACTTGTTCTTACACATATAGTAATGATCGATACTTTAAGGATATGAAACGAAACGTCAATTCAGCTTTTTCGCTATCGAATTGAATCACGTTTAAGTAATACAGTGGACTTTTATTTCATGGCTACAGTGAGTTGGTCTATGAGAAAGAAAGAGTAGTAGTTTGTTTTCCTGCTTTATTTAGATTCGTATTAATGTCCTAAACAAGTTGAATAATATAAAAATTAAAAGATTGATATTCATTTTTCTTCCTGTTTTGCAATCAGTAATTCATGTTAATCGCCTAGGCTGGCTGAGTGGCATCGCCATCTGACTCTTGAGTCAGATTCTAGAGTTTCGATACTCTGCCTGAGCACTATTCTGTGTCATCGATGATCAAAGCCAATGATCTTCGTGCCACAATACTAATTGATTACTTCATGCAAACTGTTTATTGATCGACTCGACTGTTTCTCGAACTTGATTTACTCTAATTACTTGTAAAAACGCGAAAGCGATTGGAAACCGGGACTTAGGGTCTAGTTTCTGTACTCATACAGATTGAATAAAAATAAAGCATTAATTAAAAAAAAAATAATTCATGTTAATCTGTTAGAAAATAATTCAAGTTAAAAAAAACTGTATTTTCTTCTAATCTATAGCGTTTTACATTGATATTTAAAAACCATCATCGTCATTGATACAGTCGTAATGAGAAAATAAGTTTAGTTTATTTCAAAAAACATAAATTATTTTTCTCATAAATAAAAATGACTTATACAAAATCCATTTTTAGAATGATTTCAATTGGCAAACAAGTTTATGCGAAGCTGAAAAAGATGCTATTAAACTTGATCGTGAATGGATAAAATGTTTAAGACATGCATGGATACGTCCTGTTTCTGAACAAATCTCATTACAAGGAAAATGTTTCGCATCTGCAGAACAACATCGTGAATCAAAAACATTAATTAAACCAAACAATCGATATTTTATTCGATCATCAATATCTCATATGAAAATATTGCTGAACAATGATATGAAGATAAAAAACGAGGATGCTGATGATCATGAACAATCTATAACAATAGATAGTTACTTTCGACAAAAATTTGTTGATTTACGTTCAATTACAAATAAAAACAATGCATCACAATTCCCACTTTATGTTCTTCCGGTGAGAGTTTAAACAAAAAAAAGTTGTCGGTTTCTTTTCCTCTTTATTTCAAACTTATTTTTTTTTCTCTTATAGCGTTCTTTTTTTCCATGTATGCACATCGTGTATCTTTATTTTAAATATAAAAAGATGTTGATCTTTATCTTATTATTATTCTAAGTTACAAAATTTGGATACAAACAAATGTGCAGAAGTCAATGAGAGTAGTAGAACTATTCCATATGCAACGATATGCTTTATATGCTATACATACTTTGTTCAAGTTGTATCGACCTATATTCAAATTCATGTCATAGAAAGATGTACGAATATTTCTGATGAGATAAAAACATCCGTATATCTATCCAATACAAAAGATCAACAGCATTCAAACAACGTTTAGCATAAACGAAAAAAGTGTATTTTATTCTTTTCTTACAACTATATAGTTAAACATATTTTTATATCATAACAATTTCTCTACTTGACGACATATTTTAACAAAAATTCATACTTATCTCACGTTATGAAATAACAAAAAGCATTTTTTCGATAAACATCAACACAGAAGAATCTACTCCATAATACAGAACAGTGCTGTTATTTAGAAGACAGTTTTCTTTAGAAACACTATATTCGTCACCTATAGATTTGTTCAGCAAAGAATTTTGAAAAAATCACGTACAGAAGTTGAAGAAATAGATTCTTCTCCAAATTGACTGACCTCCTCCTATACACTAATTGATCTTATCCGCAGGGCTCATCAAAGAGTCGGTGTTGCTGATCTGTAGAAATACCAAAATTTGTCCTTTCTAAAATAGAAGCTATTCTAGTCTTCATTTGCATAAGAATAAATTTCTAAAAAAGAAGTAATGAACCTTAGAGATCTAATGAATGAATTATATTGTTTTAATATTAAAAAAAAGTAACTGTTAATGTAGCGTATCGATTGCATTTTTATGTCTTTTTTTCTCATTTCAATTTAATATACTTGACATTGCATAAAAATTTCAACGATAACAATTTCCTAATACTTTGCTATGAATAGGCGTTCTTTTTTCTCTTCTCAATTTCTTTTATCACACGTGTATAACCAAATCAAATACACTCTTGACAATTGCACTTTTCCTTTTTCTCTTTTTTACATTCGATCGAAGTATCCGCCTTAATTTTCACCTTGAACATAAAAGAAGTATTTATATATCATCTTATCGATCTCTTTTCTTTTTCGCGCTCGATTGATCTCAATTGTTTTATAGCCGAAGGGTAAAAGATCTATACAATGAACAACTTGTTCTCATTCACACGAACAACAACAATAATAATAATAATAATAATAATAATAAACTTTTATTCAAAAAACAAAATTGCATTTTTCACATAAACAAAAAATGTTGTTATAATCACTGTGTATAAAAAAAACAACGAATATGATAATGACACATAGTAATCATCTTCGAATAACTATGGGAAAAACGTGAGTGATGCCTTTCCCTTTTTTTCTTTGCTTTGGTGCGAACTTCCCACACATTGTTTTATATAACTATAAAATAATTAATAACGAAGTAAATAATAAACAATATCCATATATCCAAGATAAATAGCTATATGTAATGGTAACCATCCATCACGATTACTAATAAATAAATCACAATTTCCATATTCAACAAATAATTTTAATAAATCTAATCGATTATAAAGACAACATAAATGTACTAATGATTGTCCATCATATTTTAAATAATTAAGATTTATTTGAGAAATTTTAAAAAGAAGTTTTTTTATTTCATATATATCACCATTAGATTGAATTATATTAAATAGACGATATGCGAATTGATGTTGATCGAGAATCATATTGAAATGTGAAGAAAAGAAAATGAACATATACATATACATATACGTACACAAATACACTGATCTCTATTTAAATGAAAAAAGAACCAATGAAAATTTTCGTTTAACTTATGAGAAATTTTTTTTAATAAGCTTTAGGCAATCTAATCCGGAAATTATAAATAAATATTCTCTCACTTGATCATATTTCCCAGAATAAAAATCAATGTTTAACAGACAGAACACTATGTGTAATGTGTTAATTTTATATGTAATTTCTAGTAAAATTTCTATTTTTGTCTTCTTTTAATAATTCGAATTGCTTTTTTTTTGACAACAAACATTCAATATCAAAAATAAAAAAATCCTATTAAATTTCATTTAACCTAGATAAAATATCAACTTACTTTATTTCTTGTAATTGAATATCTAAAAATAAAAAAAACTTCATGAAAATAAAAACATATTAATTAAAACTTACGTATACAATAGATAAAATGATATTCATGTTTTTTTTTTTTTGTTGTCTTTTATTTTCTCAATTAACCTAGATATATATGTTATATATAAAATCAAATGGATCATTTTCATTAGCATTCAACATCTATTCATTATATAAACAATCAAGTTGTCAATTTCAATTTTATTCCTACAGCAATTTCAAGCTGTTTGTTTGAGATTATTCTTTTATTCGAGATCATCTTCGGGCTAAATTATAATAGCATTGACGAGTTGTGTTTTATGGATAATTACTTACTAGCTATTCTCTGGATAGTTGGCATCATATACAAATATACATATAACAGACACACGATCTTTCCTTTTTTTTTCTTGTCTTGTAAATACCACTCGGACGCGTGTGTGTGTTCGTTTCGGTAGCTCTAAGGCAAGTCCATGCCTTATTTGCATGTAAGAAATGACCATTCAAATGTTCATTACTCTTATCTAAATGATTGCATGAGAACACATAAATGAGCAAGTGCATTCGTCTTATTATAAGTAATGCGCAAACGTATTAAATGAAAGCATGGATGCTTAGAAAGAAAAAAAGACAAAACTCAGTTTTTTTTCTCCTACATGGACGTGCTGCATAACGATTATTTAAGCGGAACTGATGATTCTAACAGACACATGCACACATACACACACACACATATGCTTTTTCATTGTCATAACGGGTTAATCTGCGGATGTTCGCATCCTTTTCTTTATCATACTTCAATCCCTTGAGATAAAAAAAAACCAAGTTTTTCACCTTAAATCTGTTATCAAATATCTATCGGCACTTTTCTTTATTGAGTAAGATGAGAGACAAGCGTGTTTGCATATATGAGCATGTTTATTTTATATTCATTTTGTTGTTCTATTTACTGATCAGTCGATCATAAGTCAAAAAAAAAGAAAAAGAAAAATTCCTATTGAGCATTAGAGAGTAGGTTTGATGTTTTATGCGAATAAAAACCATAATTATGAATAAACGATGAGCATGAATGCCATTCAAATGAACTTTTTGATGACAGATGAAGAAAATGTCTTTCTTTTAGTCTCAACATGCCGTCACATACACACTTTCTCTTTTTAAATGCACAAGCCATCAAGCAGAAACATCTTGTTTATAGATGCCATGTGAGAATAGAAAAGGAGGAGAGAAAAAGAGAATAATTTATCAGATTTTTTTTTAGTAGCACTATCGTTGTTACCCATTCTAACTTCTTCTATAATAAACCAAGGTTATGATGCATGTTCAAGTGAGAGTGTTTTAGCTATATATATATATATGTTTGTCTACTTGATTAAGCTCAAAATCTAATTATATACCTTGTTAATACTAAGATTAGTAAGAAAGAAAATGTTTGTCTTGTTTCATATTTCTAGATGAATATAATGAGCTTTTCTATAATGTTCGTATCGTTCGCTTCGAGAAACAATCACTCGGGAAATCATAACGTTCATGAAAAAAAAAATATTTCAATAGATAATTAGTGTTCACTAATTCTATCTCTTTCTTGTTCCAATAGTTTTTCATGCATTACAATGCATCGAAAAAACAGAAAAAGAAGATGAAGAAAAAATTCAATAATTCAATCAACTAGTTCAGCATCACTATTATCTAAATAACAAACACATATAAATACAGAGAGAGGAAGAGAGAGCGACAAAGGCATTCTAACTAATTTGATTTGACAATATTCTTTTTCTTCCTATTTTTCATAGAACGATGTGATCATCATCGGATTTGAGAAAATTTCTCGTCGTCTCATACTTGATTTCCTACTTTCTTTTTTCTTTTTTTTTTATTTAGATTCTAAATAACAACGATGAATAGGTAAAAGACAAGAGAGCGTTAAAGAGAAAAAGGCTTATAACATACTCTAGGAAATTAATAATGAACGTTAAGAAGCAAGTGAGCATAAGCAATAAAAATTAGAACCCATCAGGATTTTCTGCTATCAAATAAATGAAAAGAAAAAAAAGAACGAAATAGAGAAAGAGGAAAGCTTCTCTTTTTTCAAGTATTCTTAATGTTCACACTAAGAAAAAAAAACTGATTACTAGTAACTGAACATTTTGTTGGTGTTATGCAATGTATTCAATAGATATACATGAGAATGAGAGAAGATTATGTCGATGATTGTGAATAGTAACATAAATCGAAGATTTTAGTTGATAATTATATTGACATATTTCGATCGAGAAAGAACAGAAGCCTTGATTTGGAATATATTTATTTTTTTTCTGCACATTTATAATGTTACATTTTTCTCTAGAACTCACTAATTATTAATAAAATAAATCAATGCTATGATTTGTATTCTCAACAATAGCATATTTTTGCTATTGACACTAATAATATATATTGTACAATCAACAACAATATATCATAATGATTATGAACCTCGTGTATTTGATTACATTCCATCTAATTGTTACGATTGTTTATCATATCGTGATATAATATTAACACAATTAACAGATGTTCCAGCACGATCATTTGCAAATTTTAATTTAGGTTCACGTGATACAAATATGATATTAAATGGTCAATTAAATTTACGTTTACATCCATATGCATTTCAATCATTAATTGTATATAAACCAAATAAAACATTAACAATAACATTAACAGCACCAAATTCTTGGTTAAATATAACAGAAAATACATTTAATGGTCTTGAACTTCATTCATATTCAACCATACATATAATAATAAAATTCTTTTATGGTTGTACATTTCATAAAAATTCATTATCTGGTATTAAAATGGATAAATATTCTCGTTTAATACTTGATATATCATCAGTAACTGAAATTGTTTTTGAAAATAATATAATTAAAGAAAATGATTTTAACTCATCAGTTAAGTTTCTTATATCACGTACAGATACAATTATATTTGATTCATATTCATTTTTTCAATTAAATATTAAATTAAATCAAATAATTTCGTTTGATTTTGAATTAATATCACATATACATTTTAAATCTTATTCATTTAAATCATTACAATTACAAACATCAAGTTCATTTAGGTTTTATTCAATATTTTTAAATCGTTTAACTATTGATTCATATGCATTCGAAAATATGTTATTAGATTCAAATTCAATATTTAATTTTACTATACATACATTAGGTACATGTTTATGTTTAAAATCATATTCATTTGATAATTTACAAACGAAATATAAAAGTGAAAATATTCTTATTTTATTTCAATTTAATACTCTTCGAGGTTTATCATTGTTTTCAAATACATTTTCAAATTTATCATTAAACAGCATTGATAATCAATTAAAAATATATTCAAATAATCCATTAAATGATCCAAATCTAATTATTAATTTTGCTGTAGATACATTTTCAACAATAAATAATGGTTCAATTATTTTAAATTTTTCTGAAGTTATTTTAGTTAGATTTGAAAAAAATTCATTAAAAACAAATTATTTAAATCATAAAATTTTTTTCAAAGGTATTTCATTTGTCGATTTATCGGCATTAAATTATAAATTAATTAAAAAACATTTTCATTTATATTTTGATGATATTCAATATGTTAAATGGTCTAAGCAAAATATTGAAGAACAGAATCTTATGTAAGTAAAAGTTATTTTCAGTTTATAATAAATGACAATTAGTTTTAAATATTTACAGATCAATCTAATTGAATTGTTTATTTTTAGTCATCTTCATCCTTCATTAATTCAATATCATTTTACTTATATTTCAAATTCTTCTTGTCTTATTTATTCAGCTTCACGTTCTATTCCATGGTTATTTTCAATGTCAAATTTAACAATATGTAATTGTCCTTTATTTTATGCGTATAAACATGGTCAACTTGATAGACAATTAATTCCTTGTCTAAATTCGATGTCTCAATTTGAAATAATACAACAAATGAATGAATGTAATTTTGATCGAATAGAAAATCATTGTTATTTAACACTTCAATCATTAACAAATTTAAATAATACAAATGAAAATCTTTCTTCAAAAATTTTTCATTCATTTGAATTAAATAATTTATTAATTCAACAATTATACGATAAAAGTTATCTTTCATGTTCATTTAATTATTCATTATTATCATCAACATTAATTATACGTTCACGTTTATTGAATAATTTCGGTCTTGTTATTGGTATTATAATTGGTATATTTATTACATTACTTATTATTGTTATAGCTTTATTAAATGGTTTACAATATAAAATGAGAGAATATGATGAAACATGGACATGGAGACGAAATATGTCATGGACAACATTACGACGAACATTATCACAAACATCATTAAGACGTTCACGAAGAGATTTATGTACATTAAATAGTCATGGTATAACATCAAAATCGGATAATCAACTTGATCGTTTAAGATATGAACAACAGGATACTAATGATCATGAATTAGATTATGATTTAAAACAATCTCAGTCAATACAAGAAAATTTAAAAAATAATAATAGACTTTATTTGTGATATTTTATTTTTGTTGATTTTTTTTTTCTTTTGTAAAAAAAAATAAATGAGAATATTGAAATACATATCGGAATGTGCTCTACTCGTCATTAGACATGCAGCTGTTTCCATTTTGATCTTTTTCTTTTTTTCTCTCGTTCTCACCTTTGACTGATATAATTCAATGAAATATTTTCATTCGTTCTCATTTCTATTTTATATACATTCTTCTTCGTTTTCTTCACATTTCAATATGATTTTCGATCAACATCAATTCGCATATCGTCTATTTAATATAATTCAATCTAATGGTGATATATATGAAATAAAAAAACTTCTTTTAAAAATTTCTCAAATAAATCTTAATTATTTAAAATATGATGGACAATCATTAGTACATTTATGTTGTCTTTATAATCGATTAGATTTATTAAAATTATTTGTTGAATATGGAAATTGTGATTTATTTATTAGTAATCGTGATGGATGGTTACCATTACATATAGCTATTTATCTTGGATATATGGATATTGTTTATTATTTAATTCAATCAATGAAATCATATTAAATTCCGGTGTTTAAGAAAACAAAGTATGGTAATTATTTATCTTATAGTCGAACTAATGATTGATATAAATCTTGTTTTTGTTTAGAAAATTCAAACAGTGATTGATAATCGAAGCAAGTTGTATTCATCATACATTGTTAATAAATCAATAGATTTTTCTTTTTTGTATGACATTGAAAGAAAGCGATAGTTTTCTCACCTATTTTTTTCCCATGTTCTGTTATGTAAATAAAAAGTGAAGAATTGATCGGTATATATATATATATTATGATAAAAAAGAAAACTTAATATATCTTGATATACATATGACAACGTAAATTAGAACAGGCGTCACCATCAATGTTGCCCTACTTGAACATTCCACTTAGTGTAGCTAAATGATATTTAGACAATCTTCATCAAATAAATGAAATATGTAATTTAGTTTTCAAGTATTCTTTTGGCTACTCATTAAGAGATATTGATGAAGTATTTTTACACTCATTAGTTTACTGAAATTAATCAAATATTGAACACGCGAACAGCCTAATGTTGACTAAACTTGTTTCGTTGGCGTTGAATGAGACGCTTTTTTTTCTACCAATGATCTAAAGCGTATACACGATTTACTATCTGTTGATTACATAAAAAAAAAATGTTGTAATTAGTGTTTAACTTGTATGTGAGAATTTACTTTTCGTTGATTATTTGAAGGAAGAGAAATGAGCAAATAAGTAGTGTGGGTTTTCGCTCCAATGACACCCACACCCACAGACTACTCACCTCTCTTCTTCCAAATAAGCAACGGCAAGTAAATCCTAACCCAAGTAAAGCGTTAATTGAAATAGATTCTGTATGTCATCAATGGACAGTGAATCGTGAAAATTGGTCTAAAGCAATTAAAAATTGAGACGTGTGAATTGATTGACATTTTATAGGTTATATAGATACAGCTGATGATATGTCTCGAGTCTATATTCTAATAGATAGAACATTAGAATATAATTGAAATCGACTGATAATTTTGAAAATTATATCTTATTATGATTTGTAAATTTTTTTTTCTTTTTTGTAATAATTACAATAAAATTTCATTAGGACATTTTTTCATGAAGAAAGAATGTATTCAATTATGCATGTATTAGCACTTTACATATCTTTCATAACAAGATAATCTTCCGGTACATTAAATGAAGGACCCATACCAGAACGAGCAAGTGATCGATAGTTTGTCCATGTCTTAATTTCATTATAGAAAGCATTACCCGGACAAGCTGTACTATCTAAATCCCTAAAAAAAAGAATAAAACAATGCTTCTATATATACAATCTTGGACAGAATTAGCTGCTCCCCAGAAAGTGGTATTATTTTTCTTGATGACAATGAACTGATATTTTGGGTGAATGCGTGCGACAATAAACCCTGATCACAATTATCAACGCTCTATTAATCGGAATACATAGACTCGGGTTATAATTCAAATATTATCTTTCTCTTGTGAAAAGTATATTAAGCTAAAATATGCATTTAAAAAGCTTTCTTTTGTCATTTTGTTATTCCACAAGCTACTACTATTTTTTTTCAAGCGCTAAAGACAGTCCTATATGTTTACTTTATCATTATCAAAGGTCACGACATAATAGTCAAGGTCTTATTAATTAACACATCATGCAATAGTGAATCTTTGCCGTAGTACTAATCCTACTTGATCACAAGAGGAAGAAGATGTCTGAATAGGGTTCTGTGCAGCAAACTTTTTCGTATCCCGAATTTTGTTTGTCTCGTTGACTGAAAGGTCTCTGACTGCTTTCCATTTCCTTAGTTGCAATGAGAAAAATTTCTTCTTCTAAATGTAGTAGTCACGACTGCAGTCAGTCACTCGTTCTCTACATCTAAACATCATGCCGAAATCAGAAAAAGTTTGCTGAGATCGTGAGAATATGATCAATGCACATCTAAAATTCATTTTTTCAAAAACTCGATTCCATTCGAAAGCTATACAAATGTGGAAACCACAATTAGTAGCTAAGAGTTTTCTTATATAGCAATAGTTGGTTCAGACTTATTATCTTTTAACCTCTTAAATGCGGCAAGATAATTTAAAGTGTACGACACGTTTTGATATAGAGATTGAAAAAATTCGGGACATTGGTTTTTTCCATATAGTCCCATCTTGAAAAAATATTCGGAAGTGTCCCACAAGACACTCTAAGTGTGAATCATAGATTCAGCACATCTGCATTGATGAAGAGTGAGTTGATGCTTGAGATTCGAGTTTATTGTCGCATGCATGCCCCAAAAATATCAGCTCAATATCATTAAAAATAGTAGCACATCATGGAGAACAGCTACTTTTGCTCAAGACTGTATAATTGAATAAAATAGATAAATGAATACAAACCGATGTCCTCGAAGAATATAATTACTTCTGATATAACCCCGTGAAACACCACATTTGATTAATGCTTTAACTGCATTAATTGCTCCAGCATTGGGTTTTCGAGAACTATAATCACCAATAACCGAAATACCTAACAATAAATTACATAGTAAAATTTAAATATTATGAAGTAATTAAATGTACCGATTGATTTTGAATTATAGCCATAAGTATGTGCACCAACATATGTCCAGCCTCTTCCTTCATAAATATTACCATCTTCACCTACTAAAAAGCTGTATCCAATGTCATCCCAACCTACAATAATAAACTTAATAAATAAATAAAATTATTTCCAATATTTCCATACCATTTGAATCCATATGATAATTTTGAAAGCCTTTCATTTTAGTAATACAGTCACTTTTAGTTGTACATGTACCACCTGTTGTGTGATGTATAACGACATATTGTACTGGTGTTGTCATTGCTGTTCTGCTTTTAGCTGCTCGTGCACCCCACTGGGAACGAGTAACAATGCTTGGACAATCTAGATTAAACCGTTATACAAGTATTAACTGAAGGATATTGAAAAAAATTCTCTCACTAGCATTAGATGTTGATGATGCAAAGCAACATTTGATATCTATTGGTTTACTCTCACATAAATTCGATATATAAAGGCTACCTGGACAATCAGATGTTTTGATACATCGACCAGTTTTACCATACTGAGGATGAACATATGATTCACATGTATCACCTATTTTAAAAGAAAGACTTACAAATTTTCAATCGATCATCATGTTTTTACCAGTTATTGGCGTTATAAAAAGAGCAGTAATAGCAAGTAAAAGTATCATCGATCTAATATTGAATGAAAAACTACCGAAGAGAAGCACAGTATGCATCTGTTATTATATAAGGATTTTATTGAAACAGTGAAAAAATAATTGTTCGATAATACTTTTCATTTGAAACTTAATAGCACAAAAGGGATTAAAATGGTGCATATGTTATTGAAAACTTTTGATTTTATTGTAGTGGAAAAATATGGTTTTCGAAACAAACAAGTTAATTCAAAATATTGAGTATTTAGAATAAAAAAGCAAGAGAACAAATATCAAATATATTGATAGATAGAATACAAACTCTGATGTCAATGTCAATTTTGAGTTCATCCAGTATTTTGATTCGTAGTAAATTAATTTTCGATAGAAGATTTCATCAAGTTAATCAGTCATATCGAATTTTAGTTCTAACTTCACAAATACTTACTTAAATGATGAAAATCATTTATTATCCCTTATGATTAGTGTTGGTTCGAAGCAGCCAACATGAAAGGTGTAGCGATTTTCTGCAAAGAGAAAATATCGTTCTTTTAATAGAATGCGAAAAAAGAGCTGCAGTTCTGCTGAGATAAAACAAAAAGTTTCGTCGATTGAGGGAGTGCTACACTCGCCGATAGTCCCTGCTGGTCGCGTCACCACTGTTTATGATACAAAAATGATATGAAAGATTAAAAGTAGATAACAATAAATATTCGGTATGACCTCTCTCCATAGTGGACACCTAAGAGACGCCTTTCAAAGCGTCCTTTTTTTGAGAGATTTTCAATTGTTTTCTCTGTGATTATTTTTTTAGTTACCGAAGCAAATCAAACTTTTGTTCACTATATTATTTTATAAAGAAAGATGTTTTCAGGATATTTTGTATCATAATTTATTGAAAGCGACTTTGCTATCATAACTCATTAAAAGCTCTTTGAATTTCATCAATCTTTTTTTGAAAAAGTCAGGTATAAACTTTGTTTAGACACAGTCCAATCTTGATAAAAGTCAGTCTTCTTCGACTCGAGTTTGTTGACAATTATCCAGAGCTCAGGCTATTCTAACAACGAGAATAAATATAAATTTCGTAGCATATTGAGCATTTCGGGCAGATCCGCATTCAAGTGGTTCATTTCCAACGAAAACAACTCGAACGGATTAGAAGATGTTCACAATACGGAGATATTCACTTTAAAGAGGTGTCCATGAAGGTAGGTTTTACTGTACTATCATCTTTAATTGTTCGAGGTCTCCCACCGTAATGAGTAATAAAAGTTGGACAACTTGAAATCGATCTCTTGTAAGAATAATATCATTTGAACTGTCATTTTAGTTAGTGGATCGGTCTGTAGAAGGTGTGATACTTACTTAGTACTATGTATAACCATAGATAAAAATTTCAAATAGATTTCGATATTATCCAAAATTTTATATTTAACATGCGATCAAATCAAATTATCCTGACTAATACAAAGTACAAATGAAAATCACATTTAAAATGAACATTATTGATAGCTTATTATTAACATATTAAAGCTTTATCAAAACCTATAATAAATTTTGATTAACATATCAATCGCATAGAGAGGAACAACAACTATGTCAAGTAATGTCGTCTACCAAGAATAGTGTGATAAAATTTGATGTAATGACGTAAAATGCCACATTGAATCAATGATTCAAGTGCATCGACAGCTAGTTTATGTATTTTTTTGGATGTATAATCTCCAATCATTCCTATACCTAAAAAATGCATTGTATTATTAATCGAATCTATCATAAATAAAGTAGTGTTTCGTCTATTTACCAATTGATTTACTATTATAACCTGCACGATGTGCACCAACATATGCCCATCCACGTCCTTCGTATATTAGTCCACTTTCACTGATTAAAAAATTATATCCAATATCACTCCAATCTGTAAAAAGATTGCAGAAAAAATAAATTTAACAATCAAATATTTTCTTTCACTTTTTTCATCCATGTGATATTTTTGAATTCCTCGTATTTGTTTAACACATTCATGATGAGTTTTACATGTAGGACTAATAGTATCATGAATTACAACAAAAGGAACTGGTGTAATCAATAATGTTTGACCTTTAGGATTTTTTGCATTCCAACTAGCACGTGGTATTATTTTAGGGCAACCTTTAACAATAAACTAGTGAGAGAAATTTCCAATATTATTTTTATCTAACCTTTATAAGACATTGTTGTATTGAAACAACATATAACATTTATTGATTTACTTTCACATAATTTTGGCAAATAAGCATTACTCAAACAGTCTGATCTCGTCACACATCGACCAGTTTTACCATAATCACCATGAATAAAAGATTCACAAGAGTCAGCTTTGAAGAAAAATGTCAATTCAACATATATTTTAAATATCTTTTTTTTTATTCTAATACCTGTTATCGATGATACAATGACAGTAAATATGATTAATTGAAGTAACATTTTGAATTTTTGTGAAAAGACTTTTTTTTTGAAAGCTTGCATTAATTTAATAACGACTGTATTTATAATAAAACAAAGAAGGAAGAGATTAGAAATATCAAATGTAAATATCATATGTAAACAACTGAAATTCGATAGTCAGCATTTATATGCTATTAGATAAATTTTGATTAGCTTCTACATCGATTCTGATTTTCAAATTGAATTCCCCGCTCAATAATGTAGCCCGTAAAAAGTCACTGAATACACGATCATATTTTTCTCTTGTGACATACATCTATCTCTATAGAATTCATCAAATTATTAATTGATATACCTGATATTTTCTATCCATTGCTTACTACTCGAAATCTCAATGTGACAGTTTTTCTATTCGATTTCTATAAAGAAGAAAAACAATAGATTTTCTCTGTAGAGAATAATGTAGACAAGAATCATCAGTAATTTTAGAAATAAATGTCATTAAACTTCATTAAAATTATTATGTAATAATAGATAGACGTTTGGTTTTCAAAAAAACCAATAGTACTTGCAAACAGCAAAGTTTAGACTATCTATCAATACAACAGAATTCAACAATTGTATACTGAAAATTCAATATTGCTTATTACATTTCAACATTAATGCTTATCTTTGAAAAGAATAATTTAACAAAGATAACTAAAGATCATATATAGACCTTTAGCTTCTACTTTGAGCTTTCATATTTGAAGGTGTGGGTAATGGTGCGGGTGTACCAGTGATTTACAGCCACATCTTCTGTTGACAGAATAGCTGTTCGTGTGCTACTCATTTTGTATCCTATGTGATTTTGTAGCTTTCGCGGTGTCCGAGGATTATCCAAGGTTTCACAGGTACTCAATCTTTTTATACATTTGTTTAGAATAAGGTCTCTCACATGAATGCAAAATATCAGCAAAAACGCCGTGGATCAGCCGAGAATCTTTTCTTGTCTTGAGATGTGGGTGTGAATTAAATGAAAAGGTGAACTAACAATGTTGTAAAGAGAAACGAGGAGCCAAATAAAAGAATTTCGAAAAAACAAATAAATAACATATAATGTCTTATACGACTTTCCAGGAAAGTCAATGACTTTTCGGAAATGGAATGATGGTATAGAAGATTTGTTTTTCGTCAGGCAATGCAGTTTTGACACATGAATTGTGGATAACTAAGCAAAGACATACACAAGCCATCTCTCTCTATGTGAGTGCCGCGAAATGATCTACACCACATCACTGCTGTCTACGCCCATTATGTCCATTTTTGTCGATTATTCCCATCATGCCTATTATGCCTCCTTCTCAATAAAGTGGAAAAAAAGAGTTTTCGAGAAACTAATAGAAGGCATCGAATCCTGTTATCGTTTGTTTTTGTACAACACTTTCCTCATATGCATTGAGTGATTTATATTTGAATTGTTAGTCGTATAAATTTGTTTGCAGATGATTTGGCGAAAGTACTCAAGTCATAAGGCATTCTTGAAATCTAAGTGACTACTGAGACGAATTAGATTTTCAAAAAAATACTATGCCAAACGATATCTCATTGTATTAAGCTAGCAGCATAGAGAATACAATCTATCGTGCTGTCCAAATTCATAAAAACTTTGAATTTCACAACTAAAGTCAATCAGATAGTCATGATTTGGATAATAAATCTGCAATTATGTATCTGACCAAAACTATCTCAAAAGTTATCCAATGTAGGTCTTATGTATGTTATGGCTCGGAGATCATATGTACCCTTACTTTATTAGTACTAAATAACCTTTTTGTCAAAAAATCTTCTGCATATTTCAAAATCATATTCACGCTAAAACATAATATCCCAACTCAAGTAGATAGCAAAATATCTTAATAGTGTTTTAATGCATTGACTCCAAAAAGAGCCGAAAAAAATCTTATAATTCCCTATGTCGCTCGAATCGGTAAAAAACCGTCGGTTAACTGCGGTCCACAGCAGTTAACCGACAGTAAACATGGTCAAGAGATGTTTCTTCATCACAACTCTCTCAACAAACTTCCTACACTCCCTACCCATGATGTTTATCGTTTATTTTTAAGGGTGCATCAAATCCTGCTTATCTACCTTAGGATTGCACACTTTCGGTAAGAAAACTTTCGAATCCAACCAAATCTTTGTGTCAGTTATAAATTATAAACAATTTTAGTCACACTATTTCATGTTGTATTACTATATTTGCCAAAGCTCGGAAGTCGGAAGTGCTTTTCTGAGATTTAACAAATATGGTACTGCAATATCAAGCAGGGCGACTAAAAATGTTTCTAACTTACAATTGATACAAATATTTGATCTAATTTGGGTGCTTTATTACTGAAAATCTAAAATCTTTATGTAGAAGCGCAGGTTTTGCCGCATCTCTTAAATTGATCGTATGGATAAACACGCAATTTAATTTATCAATTCATACTTACTCTTGCATAAGTTTTTCAATTAAATCTATACAAAAAAAGTTATATTTTTTAAAAATTTATTCTTGCACTTAGATGATGTGTTGGATCCCATCTAAATCAAAAAAAAATTTATAATTACATTTCAATTCACTGTTGAGCGACATCTAAATGTAAAAAATAATTTTATATTTTCATAAAAAGTTGTAATTCCATTTCATCTAAGTTTTGTACTACATCTAAGTGAAAGAAATATTTTTATTTTTGTTTTTAAATTAATAATTACATTTCAGTCCAGTGATGGTTCATATCTAAATGAAAAAAAATTTATTTTTTCATAAATTTATACTTACACTTGGTTTAGGTGTTGTATTACATTTCAATAAAAAAACAAGTTCCTACATCTTTTTTTGAGTGCCAAATAGTCATGTATGTTGATTTCAAAAACTATGCATATATAGAAAAAAATCTGATAAATCTCCTCTTTGCTAACCAAAAGTATTTTGCTTCGAGAATATGTTTTACATCAATTCTTTTCGAAGAAAGAATGATTTTATTTTTTATTTTTCATCCATGTTAAATCAGAGAAGTCAAAAATCTTATTTTAGTTGTTTCCTCCTTGCACTTTCATCAATTACATTTGGTAAAACTAACCAAACAACACCGTCAGTTAATCGTAGTTGACCACCGGTTTTCGAAAAAAAAATGACATGGGCCTTGCTAAGTTTCACCATAGTCTGAATTCTTTTTTTTTATCGTTTTCTATGAATAGACGATTCCTTCATAAATAAGAACTTCAAACTGTGCTCTCTCCTCAGAAAGAAATTATTCTTACAGAGTTGACAAAAGTAGTTAATCATGCGAAATTCAGCAAAACACAAACGCATTGTTGTAAAGTATTTTGAAGACTGAGAGAAGCTCGATAAAAAGATTACATGATCAAATAATGCAGATGATTATTGTTGTACGTTCCTCTGTAGAACAATGTTTTAAAACTTTGGTTTGTAAAAACATCGAAAATGCAACAAACTACTAGTTACCAACACGTACTGATGTAGTATTACTTCACTGTAATATTGACTTTGTGCTGCTTTTGCGAAGTTAAAGAAGCCAACTGCTATGTTATGTTCTACTTTTCTTTAAGGGCAAATTAGGTTCGATAGTGTAGAACATAAACGTTTGTTTATTTGTTAAACTTAAAGAAATCATAACCGGTACATAATATCGCATGCATATACAGTGAGCCGAAAATTTATTTGTACATCCCCTCAAGTTTTTTTCCTTCCTCTTGTTTTACATTACAAAAAGAAACTTGGGAGCTTCTATCAGTAGCATCTTGGAGTATATTATGCCTAGTATATATACTGTTATTTTGGGCTTTGGATATCCTTCAATCTCTGTTTTACTGAAAAATGAAGAGAAACACATGACTTTTTTATAACGAAAAATTATGCGTACAGAGAGAACAAAAATAGTTTATTTTCAAAAATAACAACTATATGAAAGAGAGTTAGTATTTAGTTGAACAACCTTTTATTTGAATACATTCATACAATTGACTAGGAACTGAATCTACTAGTTTTTCAAGTACAGGTAATTCAATTTTATTCCATTCCTGTATTAATAGAAGTTCAAGTTCTGTAATATTTTTCGGTTGATATTTTTTGACTCTTCGCTCAAGCTCGTTCCATAAATTCTCTATGGGATTAAAATCTGGTCAATATGGTGGCCAGGAGAGGGTTTGAATTTCTTTTCCTTTCAACCAACTTTTAATTAATCCTGAAGTGTGTGCAGGATCATATTTCTCATGCATAAAGATACATCGTTGACCTAGTTTAAAATGATTGATCGATAGTAGCTTATTTTGTTCCAAAATATCTCGATAGTAAAATCTGTCCATAATACGATCTAATACACACAGTTTTCCAATTCTCTGACGAGTGAAACAGCCGTAAACCATGACTAAATCATCACCGTGCTTGACAGTAGGAATTGTACATTTTGGTCGAATTCTTGAAGTGGTGTTCTCCAGGCCATAACTTTACCAGCCGAGCAGAAAAGATTGAATTTTGACTTGTCGGACCAAACAACATTCTTCCAAAAATCCACTGGTTTTTCAAGCATTTTCTTGGAGAATATAAACCGTTTTCCTCGATTGATCTTGTTCACGCAAGGCTTCTTACGAGCAACTCGCCCAAACAATCCAACTTTGTGTGCCCGTTTTCGAATTGTATCGACGTGCAATGAAATTTCTATTTTATTTTCGATCTCAAACTTCACCGTGGAAGCTGATTTTCGTCGATCGTACTTGAGCTTACGTTGAATAAGTCGATCTGTTGTTGCTGTTGTTTTCCTTTTGCGACCACGTCCAAATAAGTTACCAATACATTTTGTTGATTTATACTTGTCGACCATATATATTGAACTGTAGTTTCGAGGAAGTAATGTTTTTGCTGCTATTTCACGTAGTGACATAGGTCCACGAAAAAATAACTTTATCCCGTTTTACGTTTATGTTGTAGAAACTGGTAAGATTTCCATATTCGCTACACTCTAGTCCCTTTAGGCCTTTTTGAATATAGGTACCGGTGCGAGTACATGTGTCGTTAAAGTGAGGCTGCCAAAGGGTGCTAAAGAGATTAAAAGGACTAAAGGTACTAAAGGATGCTAAAGGGACTAAAGGGATAACTTGAAGGAACTAAGAGTAAAACGGGATAAATTTATTTTTTCGTGGACCCCTCATATATAAAATCAAAGAAAGCATAAAAAAGGAAAGAAAAGAGATGAGTAACACATATATATAGAGGTCATGACGTAACACCCTATCCCATTGAGAAAAGTTTTTCCATAAAATGGAAAAACTTTTTATATGAAGATAATGGTTTATTTCTGAAAATAAACCATAACAAAAGAAAATGAAATAGAGGAAAGAAACAGGGTTATAAGAAAAAATCAATAATAGATGAAAACAAAAGACTGAGACAATAAGTATCGAAATGAAAAAAACTTTTTTTTGTTTTTTAAATGTTGATGACTTTGAAAAGAAGAACAGCGAGTAAATAAACAATAACAAATGTTCACGTGAACTCTCCCCGTAGAAAAGTTCACTTCATCATATAAATGCTAATGATAATAATAATATTGTCAAGTGAATATAGTTAATGGTAATTGTCTATCAAATTGTTCTGGAAGATGAGAATTTTTGACACCAATACTTATTTGATTGTGTTGACGTTTAATATGAATGAAATGCATATGATGTTGATAAAGTATATGCTTGATCTTTTTCTTTTGTAAAACGATGAGAAACGTTACGAATAATAGAATAAATATATCGATATAATCTATGGACATTATTGCGTTTCTTATTTCTTTTTGTGCAAGCAACTGTAGAATGTTGAGCGTATTTCTTCGAAGTAAAGAAAGGTTTATGTAAATTAAACGATGATGGTGAATGTGTTTGGTGCTGTGGTTCATTAACAATTGGTAATGAACTAATGGGAAGTAAAGTATCATCATCTGATGTATATTCCAAATCTACAAATGGTGATGATGAATCAGTTAATAAACGATCAATTGATGTTGTTTCGATTTGAATTAAAGACCAGCATTGTGTTACAGGTTGATCGAGATACGTGACGCTGAAACAACCATATATAGCATTATAAATCATTTTTTCTACCTTGACTATTGATAATGTTGTATAATTAGGATCAAGCATTTGATTCCATGAATTTTCTGTTTGAGATTTATCAAAAAAACAACTTGTTGCATTGTCAAAAAAAGTGAACTTCAAACTCCATAAACTCCAAATTTGGAGTTCACTTCACACCAGTCCATATTTTTCTAATTAACATCAGTTCATGTTTTATAGTACATAGTGAAATAGTAGGCTCCCAACTAGTGTACTGCGTGATCGTTGATTTCATGATCCCGATCACGTGTGATCGTGACCGTGATCGTGCGTGATTAGAAAATTTTGTCGTGATCGTGATCGAAAAATCTCAATCACGCAGAACACTACTCCCAACAATTTGAACCATAGACTGTGAGCATCGTGTAACTGTCAATTAGTTAATTAATGAGTACTCATCTTAATTAATGCTAATTAGTTTACTACCAATTACGAAGGGGAATAAACTGATTTCGTGATTTCAGTAATTTCAGGTGATTTCAAATGCTTTCGTATGATTTCATATAATTTCATGTCACGAGGAACAAGAAGATTTCAAGATTTTCAATTTTCAAAAGACTTCGAAAGATTTTGAAAGATTTTATGGATTGCAGATGCCAACATCTCTGTTTCCTCTACCTGAGAATTAATCTGTTTTGACTTGTCTTTATTCGGGCTGCCCAGTTCAGTCTGGGGAGCCCTTATGAGCACAAACTCCACTTTCAACCTGTTTCTCATCTATTGTAAGCACAAAACATACTGTTGTTCGGGTCATACGAAAGAGGACCCCCATAGCCTCAAGATTGGCCTGAACAATCCTATGTTTTATCCTAAAAATAGTGAAAAAAACCTACTGTAGTCTGAATGGTTGATGATCGACCAATCAGATTTTTCAACTATTGTTAGGACAAAACACGGGGCTATTCGGGTTGATCTTAGGATTATCCAGGGTCCTCTTTCATATGACCCGAACAACCGTATGCTTTGTTCTTACAATAGCAAAGAAATAGCTTCCTCAAATCTGATCGCTTTCTGCTGGGGCTGTACAGTTCAGACTGATGATCACTGACGTGGTTGACCTCTACAACTCTAATTGTAAGACGCCTTGTTGTAAGATTGCACAACATTCCGAAAGATTTTAGGAGATTTCAGAGGCTTTGCACCCGAAAATCTACTTGTTCTTCCTTGTTTCGTATGATTTCGAATGTTTTCCTTGATTTCTGATGATTTCATTGATTTCTCATGATTTCAAATTGATTTCAGCGATCGAAATCAGTTTATTCCGTTTGCCTAATTAAGATGAGTACTCAACTAATTAGCACTAACTAGTTGAATACTCAACTAATGATGTGAGTACTAATTAGTTGAGTGGTAATTAATTAATTATTAGCTATCGAAACAATATATAATGGTAGCAACCGATGATAGATTTAAAGCCATCTACCTGTGCTAGATAATAAAAACTGGAGGGTGGATGTGGGTGTTGGAGGTGTGCGCATGCAGATCTTCTCTTTCCTAGAATAACTCGCATCCACACTGGCACATGCTCATTATTTTTCTTCACTTTATTTATCATTTTAGCGTCATAGGAAAATATTATACGTAATAGCAGACTAGTGTAGTGCTATTGATGCAAATGGCGCAATATGTGGAAATAGAAGAATATAGACTATTTCTAAAATATTCAAAATGTAAAAATTCTTGAAGTTTTTTCATAATGCATGATGTTTATTTTAACATGGAAAAAATGGAAAAAAGTAATGAAAATAATCGAAGATTGCTACTGATTATCTTTCTGGTTTGTGACTAATTGAAGTCATGGGTTTTGAATAGTTCAACGATCTGAAAAATGCTTTTTATAGACTTTTAAACTCATAAAGTATCATTACAACTTACAGTTTATTCTAGATCCATGCTTTTGAAGTGATATTTGATTGATCTAAAAGTGACATTTAAATGTTGGAAGGAGAGATATGATCGAATAAACATCTTACCTACTATTTGATTTTGTCGATTATGTAGATCCATTAAGAACGATGTACTCTCCTCTTTGTACGTCTTGTTCGGTAGTTGGCGCTTCAGATCTGGAGGATTCATTGTTAAGTTCATCTTGCTGATGATTTTCATCTTCAATGTTCATGGTGATCGTGTCTGTCGTCATCGGTTGATCATTGATATATTCATCGGTTTCTTCCTCATCATCATCAAGAAAACCATATTTAAGATCAACTTCATCATGTTTACGATATATTTGAAGGAGAAATTGTTCGATATCATCATTGTTATCCAATGACATGAGTTCTTCTTCGTCATCGTCATTATCCGAAATGTTCCCGTTATGACCCAGCACAGTTGTAGACCATTCATCGATGATCGTCTTCTCCTTACGATCAATAGGTAATTGTTCTTCGATTTTATGTCGTTGTTTTTCTCGAATTTTTCTATGATAAAGACGACTATTGCGCTTCATTTCGTGTGTTGATTCAACCAACATCTCATTATCTTTTCGATTTTTATAAAATTCGTCGCATACAACTTCAACAGCATCACGTGTTTCTTCCAATTCTGTTAGACGTTCGTCAATATAATTTAGTTTACGTTGTTTTTCATCAATACGAATATTAGCTAACAAGGCTATTTGCTCATCGGACATGCCCATAATTCGTGGAACTAGACCTTTATCGAACGGCATCGATTTACTAAATTCTTGCATTTCAAGAACGACATTAGCAAAAAAGCTTGTCGTCATATCATAGACCAGATGTCCACGTACAGCTTTGTATAATTCTTCCACAGTCCGTTGTGTCGGTTTTAGATAATCATTCGTGAGAGGATTACGAATAGCCGGCAAAAATTTCCCATCGCTGAAGATAAAACTTAACGGATCTGATGTGGCTTTTAATTGAATCATCGTTTTTCCGTAGTCTAAAAGTCGGCTGGCGAGATTGAATTGTTCGCTCTGTTCTTCTCTCTCCTCACTACTACTATCAGGTGCTAATGAACGACCCAATCGTTGGGTATTCAAACTTACACCATGACTGACATAGGCCATTTTTGCATAACGACAATATTTGAAACCATCAATAGCCTTTCGAATAAATTTTCTTGTTGTTTTGTGATAATCAAGCTTGACCATGCTGAGAAATTTGGTGTGTCGTTTCAGATGAGAAAATTCTGGTTCCAAAAGTAACTTTTCCGATACATGCTTAGCAAAATGATCAATCAGAAAGGTATACATTTGGGTTAACCATGATATACCCATTTGAAATGTTTCACGAATAAATGTATAAATTACTTCGCGTACACCTTTTTCAGCATCTTCATAGTCGCTCACGGCGCCGTACAATTTCGAATTGGATGATTCCATCCAATCACGCGAACGATGAAATGGTCGATAGACTTCGATCATGAAATTCATGACCTCTCGTAATCGTTCAAAATGACGTGCACCGACATATCGTCGATCGAGTGATGGAGGTCGATCGTCATCTGGTCGTTGTGTAAGTTGTTCAGCCGAGAGAAAAGCACTCCATCGAATATTTTTGTATCGATTCCATTGATGATATTGTTTTTCGAGTTCCTTGTAAGTTAAACCAAATTTATGGAGAGGAAATTTGGTGTTGATTTCAGCTCGATAGGCGACGTATTGGCTGATCATCTTACGAAATTGTGCAATATAGAGTAGATAATTTTTGCGAACCAAAACCGGATCTTGTTGACTTAAATCTGCAAGAACAGTTCGATACTGATCGTTGTATACACGTATTTCATTGCTGAGTGTTTGTTGCAGTTTTGGCAATTTTTCACGAAATGCCTTAAAAAAGAAGAAACAAATTTATATATGCGTCTCGGTAAATCAAAATTCATATGGCAAATTATTCGTTGTCCAAATCCGGACATTCGATTTCTTTGCTTACACAAAGCCATAGTTGTTGAATTTGTCTACGAACAACATCAATGCCAATTAGTGGACGATATTGTTCTCGATTGAAAACCATTCGTTCACCCGCCGAAGAACTGGAAGGTACACGTGCAAGTTTGTCAATATCTTCGATCCATTCGTCCACTCGTGTTGATTCCAAATCAGATAGATTGTGAATATATGCAACATTTTTTTCATACGATTCTTCAGCAAATGAGTATCTAGTAATGGAAAAAACAAAGCCCATAACCAAACAAAAGAAAAGATATATATCGATTAGTTCGATTTTTATGTTTCGCAGTTTTCTCGATTGCAATTGGTTCAATAATATTTTCAAGTCCACTCGTTATCGTGTTCATTCGTACCTTCACCTTTGTCGTTCGCCACCTTACTTCATACCCGAGAGCTGTCTAATCCTAGCTTCAAGTTATGACATTAATATTCATCAATCTTCTTTTACATGTATAACCTGTTGACCGATCTCAAATCTGACTTTTTTTTCATTCTGTTCCGTTGTTCTATACATTTTATTTGCTTTGTCTCGAGCATTATGTGAGGACGTGTGTATGAAACAAGAGATACACTTGGAGATAAGGAGTAGCTGAATGAAATTTGCATAGAACGGGATGGATATACATCTTTCTTGATTTTTTATTATATACGTTTTTTGGAATTATTTTTACCAGAGATAAATCTTTTTATTATGGATGCACTTTATTTGAAAGCTGCGGAATTCTTGCAATGAACTCAGATTAATCCACAAATCTTGCTCAACACGGTTCTGTAAAAAATAAACTTTTCTTTCGAAAACGGTAAGTTTCAGATTGATTGCACAGAGTTCTAAATACTTCTCGAATCCCACAAAACCCAACCTACTCGAAGTCCTGTCATTTCAGAAGAAACGCATTATTTCGCATACAGAGCTTCGGCAAGGTGCTTTTCACGACTCCGATTATGAGTATGTCTCTGAGCATTTCTTCATCAATAGGAAAAAATATCAGCCTGTTGAATCAAAATATATCGAAGATACTTGATTTTCTAGATATTCGATATTGCAATTTAACTTACCCATCGAATATCATACTGACAAAATACGTTGGTTTGTATTTTTGAATGAGCTTTTCAATTCCTGCATTTGCACTTCGTCCATTCTTGTTATCATTGATGAATTTGTCGAATTTTGTCTGAATGGTAATCGTATTATCTTTGTAATTATTACGGGGAGGATAGTTCGTGCCACACGGAGCTGGTACTTCGGTGCAGAGTGCACGAAGACGTACCGTACTTGTTGCATTTTCACCGATCAAATCAGCCGGTTTGACATGAACAATCATAAATTGTGGATCACGAACGTAAAATTCGGTTATTGTTTCGACCATTTTACGATGTTGACTGTCTTCTTCACCGCTGACAAGACCCGGAACATCGAGAATTTCAAAATCTGTATATTGATTGCTTGAAATATCAATTTCATACGGTTCACGTCTGAAACCGCCGTTTTCTCTGCATTCACTTGCGATTCGTTCCATGACATCTTTGAGGTGACTACCGAGCTTGTCAGCGCTCATGCCTTTCGGTTTATTGAAATGAATCTGTCCATCGACAAGGCTCGGATCATATCGAAGTTTGTAAGGAACAGTTCAGAAATACCAAGATTAAATGCAAGCAATTCGTTAGAGTTACACGAACAAATGATGACATCGTTCTGAAATAGTTCATATGAGACTGGGCACCGAGTGCTCACGTCATTATTTGAGAAGGCACATGGAAATAGAAGAAAATTTTGTACAAGCCTGTATGGAAAGAAGAACTTTGCTGTTTACGAGAAAAAAAAACTTTTCTTTAAGAAACATACATTGATTTGCCTGAAGAAGTATCACCAACAAAGACCAGTCGGGGAATATCAAGTTTGAGATTATATTTTTGAGCGAGATGACGTAATTTCTCATAGGCTATAAAGAGTGACTTGTCAATAACAAGATGAGCTTGTAGAAGATCGACGTTTTGATGTTCGTTTCTTCGGTGTACTAGAAGATAAGCAAAGTTTTGTTAATAACTTTGAGTAACAAAAAAGATCCAGTTCTTTCTCGCGCCAGAATGTTACATCCGAATGTTATGCGCATGTGAATTTCTCATTTTCAATACATCTAGGCAAATCTCGAATCTGCATTTTTGGATACGATCGTTGCCTGATTGAGCAAGAAGTTTACAACACAAGGAACTTAATTTTGATATCAAGATCGGTGTTGACACTTCTTTGAACACATCGGACCGCTGAGATCTTTGACTTGTTCTCATTCACCGATACAGTTCGAATTCGACTCTGATCTCAACAGTAATTTAAGTTTCTAATGTAAACTTCTTAGTCGATTCGACTTCAGTTGTGTCCTAAGTTGGATCCGAAATTCGGCTAGAAAAAACATGTTGAGCGATATCTCGGTCTAAGCCTAACAGTTATTAATCAATATTCTTCAACAGTATTAACAGTAAAAAGTAACCAAGGAAAAATATCTTCGGTTCATACCATCGTTACTGGCTGTTCTGTAAGGCATTAACGTTGTTTCTTCACTGTCAGAATGCACAGATTCAGATTCGGTATCCATTAGAACGTGAACGTTGATCTTTCTCTAGAGACTGTTGAAAATGGCTTTAGTAATGAGGCAGTCTCCGGCTTTATAAAAAGGTGACACTAGAAAAGAATCATGCTGGGTTTTTTTCGATTATTGACACACATGAGTTATGTGTCGCATATTTTGTCAGCATTGTAAGCATATTTTGTTTCCGTTCTGTACGATTACGTGTTAATAGCGTGTTGACTTTCGAATGAAATTTCCAACAATCGTGTTTTGGCGATAAGGATGATTTTCAATGGATATTTGGTTTCTTCCATTATTCCCATACATGATTCATAATTTTCGCATATTTTTTCTTGAAGGAAGTATTTTATCTCTATTGCTACTGTTTACAGATCAGATGATTATGTTGCATATTGAACGAAATTTACAACAAATGTGTTTTAAGGATGAAAGCGATTTGAAATAAGTGCTTTTAAAAAAGTCAATGTCATTTTCTGATTGAAATCATGTTTTCAGTGCAAGAAAAAGTTATCATCAGAAATTACATGTGATCCAACAAAAAAAGAATTCACGCGAAGCATCAACTTTCTTACGGAGAAAGAGGTACGCCAATGCTGATCGTCATTAAAATAGACAGCATGAAGAAATTTTCATTCAACTCTGCTAGGCAAAATCGAAAATTTTCTGATATTGGGGAAGTGGGTGTGGGTGTGGATTCTTCGTTTCTTATTTCTCATCCACACCAGCAGGATAGTTTGTTTAATTGTTTTTAGTTATTGAAATAAATCGTTTGATCGACAAATTAATTGAATCGTGCAAGAAGTTTGTTAATGCACCTACAATTTGTTTGAACTGCATAAAAGTTTTAAGAGAAAAACTAAATGAAGAACAGGAAGATATTAATCGAGAAGAAAAACAATTGTTTGAAGCTCTAGAATAAATGCACATATTTGTTAAATCTCTAAAATTAAATTTTAGTGAAAAAGTAGTTATTGAAGAAATACTCGTATCTATCGAGACAAGTGTTCATCTATTGTTTGTAAGTGCTACATTTATATATCATGTATTTTACTATTCTTCTTTTCTAGAAAAAAATCGACAATGTTGAAAGCGAATTGAACCAAATGAAAGAAGAGTATAAAGACATGACAGAAGAATATAATGGCATGAAAAAGAAATATAATGGTTTACAAGAAGAATATCATGAGATGAAACAAGTACATAATGAGACCAAAGTTGAATACAATGAGATCAAAGAACAAAATTATGCCGTACATTAGAGATTGATTCGATGAAAAGTGAAAGTTATCAGCAGAAGAAAAAGTTCAAGAGACGCTTGGAATTGATCGAATTTGAAATGAATAAAATGATGTAAGCTGATGCTTATTTTTAAATTTATTGTTCTATAAGTATCGTTAGGGCACAAACCAGTTATTTAACCGTTAGAGACAAACATACCCATTTATTAAATGTAGTCATTGAAAGAATAACAATGGAATTCGAAGTATTTAAACAACAGAAAAACAACCAAAAGCTTCAATTTCGACATTTCTACAATACTTCAGTATTAAAGACTTTGAAAGAAACACTCCCACCTAGTGGTGATATATCAAAGATTATTTTTGATGTCATACAAAAGTTTTCGCAAGGATCACAATTAACAGTCTCTCAAATTATTGATCTATTGTTATGTAAGTCAGACAGAAATTTTAAATCCCACCGTTTAGTCGAATGTTTTACCGATGATGTCATTAATAATCAACGTAACGAAAACGATTTAATACAATATGTAGAAAATGAAAATGCAGTGCAGCTCATTTTGAATAATCAAGAACAAGCTATGCTTATAGATTTAGCACATATGAACATCGAATATAATCGAAATCAAATACTGACGTAAGTTGCACAATATCATCTTCATGCTTTTTAATTTTTCTTTTTAGAGAAGCAACTATGACCGAATACTTTGATGATCCACAAGTACCTGACTAACAGTATTGATGGTCCACTTCGATTATCCATTGTTAAAATCTATGATGTTTGGTTTTTTTTCATCATTAATAGAAATACAATTTAATTTTCTTTCTACGATATGGGAACAATTATTGATGATAAAATTGAATCAGGACTTTGTCATATTGGTGATCAATGTATAATTATGCCCAATCGAACACGTATTGAAATTAGGAACATTTATTGTAATAATATTGATGCTGATTCTGCTAACTATGGCGAAGATGTTAAACTTAAATGTTAAAGTCGATGTAGGTCTCTTTTTTTAATTATTTTTTTTCTGATCATCAATTGCAGGAAATCTCATGTGGTTCCATTCTATGCGATACTCAACACAAACCATGTGGATTTGCACAAGTTTTTGATTCACAAAGTAAAATTTTTGATTTACCAAAAAATATCTATATGTTGAAAATAGATTGGTATACTTGAACATGAATTAACAATGAGGCCAGGTTATTCAGCTATTCTTCACATTCATGTCGCAGTTGCGACAGTTCAATTAAAGAAGATATTTAAATTAATTAATCACAAAACTGGTGAAATAATTGAAGAAAATTCAAGATTTATAAAACGAGATCAAGTAGCTATAGCAATATTTAAACTATCACAAGTTGATCAAGTCATTTGTATGAAACCATTTAAATGTTATCCTCAACTTGGTCGATTTACACTGCATCGTGAAGGCTACACAATTGTTGTTGGAAAATTTCTTCAGTTCATCAGATAAAGTTTTTTTTGTATATTTTTCTTTTATATTTATTATCACAAATAAAGCACAAAGATTCATAAAATAGTACCGTCTTTACGTATTTGATTCCAAGAAAACCTTACATAAATATTCAGAAGCTCTTCTCTTGATTGTTTCAAACATCATTCTTTTGATTTTATTTTACTTTACATGAAGTTAAAAGTTCGAATGAATATGCCCGTGTGTGTGGGTAATCAATATATCAACACCCACACCTTCATACCACACCACACTTTAAAGAAATCGTTTTTTTTTACAGAACCTTAAAAGGTTCGCATTTTTGCACCGAACGATTTTTAATTCCCTGAAGTGCAAATCGTGTCGTTGTTTTTTTTCAGAATGTTTTTAAGTTGAGCAGACTTCGCAGGGTTTCGCAATTTTGCGGCGGAACTTTTTGTAAGTTCTGTGAAGTACTTTGTGGTTTCGTACATCATGTACTAATCCTCTGATAGTTTCGTAAAGCAGAAGAAGGTTTCGTAATATGTCGACGAAACCGTTGATGGTTTCGTTGACGATACGAAGGTTTTGTATTATTTGTGCGGAACTTTTCGCCTCTTCGTAATCCGCTTTAAGGTTTGGTATATTTTGTACGAAACGTCTGACAGTTTCGAAGATTATCTGAAGGTTTCGCAGTTTTCTTATAAAACCTTGCATCGTTTTATTAAATAGTAACACATTTTGTATAGGATGTGGATTGGTGTGAATCTGGGTGTTGGCATAGGTCCAATAAAGACAAAACTAACACCCGCAATCCCATCTACACCCATACCCCATCCACATCCACACCCCATACCCACACCCACACCCCATACCCATACCCACACTCACACCCACCCTTCCAGAGTATCTACTGACGAATTGGAAGTAGATTTATATGAATAATTATGCGAATATACTTGTACTTAGACTCATAATTATTCAGTTTACTTTTCAATATGAATAGAATAAATAATGAGTGTCCGGTTCTGTTCATAGCTTTTGATTCTTTTTTTCATCACAGTACTTTTCCTTTTTCTTGGGTCAAGTCATTCGGAATAATAATGAACATAAAGAAGGAATAAAAGGAACTTTCTAATATGTACATTTACAAATCGTACGACTCACATGTACATGGTGAAAGTCGGTCACAGATAACTATCTATTAATAAGCGGACGTGGATTCCTTAGTAGTTTTTCGGATATATTTCGCTAGCGAAGATTGGGATCCTCAACCACAACAACATTTGTATATTACAGCGAGTATACGATAGTGTCTCAACAAATTTTGATGATGCAAATAAATCTCAAACAAAGACTCACTTGAATATACCAAGGATGAAATGATTCAGGTGTTCGTGTCTGCATTGAAGTTGTACTAGATTCTTAACTTGTAAGTCGAATAGAGATAGTGCGTTATTACCGTTGTTATCAAGACTCAGTTTGAGTTAATACCGAGAAATGTGAAATGAAGTGACAATGCTCACGGTTAAATGAACCTTACTTGTTATGATCATTGACGCTCAAACTAATATAAATAATTCATACAGATAACATCAAAACTTAAACTAGATATAATGCATAGCATTCATCGATCAATAATCTGTTACGTAGAGTTCTGTTGTCTATGAAAAAAACGGTTCCGAGCTTTTTTAGATGTGTTGCCTACATAGATGGTTGATATTTTCAATTAGTGCCATATCTTTCTCTATGTTCATTGCGTTTGTTTTCAAGATATCAATCTTGATGCCATGTATCAAAACATGGTCTTTTCTTCAAACAATTTGTTTTGTGCCATTTTCAGCAACTCTCGATCAAGTAAAATATAAAACATTAGAATCATCTTCGGAGTGTCAGATGCTTCACTCGTTTTTTACGCTCTCTTCAACAAAATCCATTCAACGACCAATCACTAACCAAAACTACTGCTATAACAATAAAAGTCGTGGAAATCAAGTAACCAATAAAAACGTAGCCTCTTCCTCTCATCTATTTCAATCCCTTGAGTATCAGGCAAAAGCAACAATAGAACTTGTTTTTCAGTGTATGTCTTTCTTCACATCCAATACCTTACGGTCTCTTGATCAGAAACTCAATTGCAGATAGAAATACAGAGTTGAGAGTTCTTTAGGATTCTGAAGGATCTAATGCGCAAATCGAACAAGCACACTGGCAAACTAAACTAAATCATCGCAATGTGGCGTGTTAAATGGCTTCATAATACGACTGTAATTCTTCGCATACGTTACGGCGAAATATGATCGTTTATGACGAAATACGATGTTAGAAGTAGTCCGTGCACGATCTCCTTAAAAGGAGTTAGTAAATTATCGGAGTTGTGTCAGTATACAATCCTATCTCTCCATAATGTATGCGAAGAATTGTGATCGCATTACGAAGCTATGTACGACGCCACAATATGATGATTTTGTTTAGTTTTTCAGCATGCTTGCTCGACCTAAGTATTCGATACTAAATAACTCTAAACAATTTCTGACCCTGCATTTCTATCTGAAAAACAGTGTTGGTGTTTTCTCAGTTCAAATTGAGATTGAACTTCATTAATGAGTAAGTCATAAAGAATTATTCTCTTAGTATTTTTGAAATTTCTTCTCTATTATTCGCTTGATCAAAACATTTCTGTATCAAAATATAGCGCTTGAGATTTTGCACATGATACTATAGTTTATTTGATGAATATAGTTTTTTTAATCTTTTTAGATCGAATGTAACCGTACAATAATTAAAATGAAGCACATAATGTAAAAGTTTTTCTTTGTCAATTTCTTGACGGAACGTTTTATTTTGTATATCAATATTGCTTTCGTTGTTAAATGGTCACAATTCATATCTTCAACCAGTTCATTCCATTGACTATAATTTTACGGACATAAATCAACTGAATTTGGTGACCAATGGTTCTTCCCGATGAATACAGGAAAATGATCAGCATACTATTTTTAGCTCAAATGATGTGTATGAGTGACCGATGATTTGAATTGTACGCATATGCCAACTTCTTATCTTTTTTTTCTCTTTCTATCAACTAAAAGTCAACAGTGCTAAAAAAATATAAAACAAAGGAAACAAATGAAAATGATAAGATAATATTATCTTACCAAGACTTTCTCTATTACCTTAGGCAAAGAACAACAGCAAGAGAACAAAATGGGTGCATTAAAAAGCGAAATGGACTCTTTGAACAGTAATAGCACTAAAGAAAAATTACATGTAAGTAAAATAAGCTGTTTAAATTCATAAAAAAAATACAAATTTTTAGGCTGATCCAATTGACATTAATACATCTCTATCATCTTTAGCAGCAACACCCATTTCTTTTGATAGTATTCTACAAAAATGTGGTCATTTTGGTCGATTTCAATTTATACATTATTTCTTTATTAATCTCATTTCTATGAGTGCTGCAGTTGCTGGCTTTTATTATGTCTTCGCTGTTGCTGATCCTGATCATCGATGTCGGTTACCAGCAAGTGTATGGCCTAATGATACACAATATAATCCAATCAATGCAACATATCAAACAATGATTGATATGTATATACCAAAAACAAAAGATGGAAAAAAATGGGAACAATGTGTACTTTATCCAACTGGAAGTTCTAATGATACCCTTATCAATTGTCCAAATGGATGGGTTTATGATCAATCAATATTTGGATATACATATACTGAAGAAGCAAATCTTGTCTGTGCTAGTAAACCAAAACAGAGTTGGATAGCTACTCTAATGCAATGTGGTGGTTTTGCATTACTTATTATTGGTACATTTGCTGACAGATTTGGTAGAAAAACAACAACTTCTTTCGTTACTATTTTTCTCTTTCTAACATGTTTGACTACTCAAATAATAATGCAATGGATACCCATGACAGTAGAAATGAAGTAAATTCATTTAATTGTTTCTTTATTTAAAATAATTGATTCATTATTAGATTTGCTCTTCTATTGTTAAATCAATTTGCATCTGGTCTTAGTGCTGCTGCATTCAGTCTAATATTTATTCTAGGTCTTGAATTAACATCATCATCGCATACAAGTTTAGCTGGAAATGCTGCACTTGTTTCATTTACAATAGGTGAATGTATTGTTACTTTATTTGCTTATTTAGCAAAAGATTGGCAAATACTTAAATGGGCTGATACAGCTTTTATTGGTTTAGTTATGCCTTATCTTTATTTTATGCCTGAATCACCATTGTATATCTATTCTAAACGACAATATGTTCAACTTGAAAGACTTTTACGACGAATAGCAACTACAAATAAACGAAAAGAAGAAGATTGGTATCCTGTTTATCAAGAATTTCTAAAAAATCAATCATCTAAGTTATTACATGTTAATGAATTAACATTTTCTCAAAAAGCACATAGAATTCTTACACATCGACCGACTGTTGTTAAATTGTTAACTACTGCTTTACTTGGTTTTACAACACTGATGCTTTATATAAAAATAAGTTATGGTTTAGCTGTAATGAGCATTTCACCATATCTAGGGATATTAATAGGTGCTGCTGTTGAAGCAGCTGGATATATAGCAGGTTCTTTACTTATATCAACAAGACTTGCTCGGAAAGGTTCATTTATTCTTATGGCAATTCTAACAATTATTTCTGTTATTCTTATACCAATTATTTTGAAACATAGTTCAATTGCAACTGTATTTATTGCACAATTTGGAAAATTTGCCATATCAGGTGCGATTGCTGTATCATGGATATATGTACCTGAACTTTTTCCAACATCAATTCGAAGTAGTGCCAATGGATTTTTTATTGCATTTAGTCGTATTGGTGCTATTGTTGCACCAATTATTAATGCATCTGTTAGTAATGAATATCTACCTTATACATTTTATGCATCAGCAGGTTTAGCTGTTATTGTTGTTTTATTAACATTAGTCCTACCGGAAACAAAATATAAACAATTGGATGAAGAAGAAGATTATACAACAAATAAAAATAGTGCTGCTTAATAATTCTTTCTGGTTTTCTTTTCATACATAAACGGTTTCACACACACAATAAAAGAAAGAGAAAAAAACAAGTGCACGCATGCTTTTATTGCGGAAGAAAAAAAAACATACACGCAAGCAAAAGATCTGACTAGAAGAACACAAAACACATACACGGAGATTCAATTCAACATTGTTTTCTTTTTAAAATAAATAATGAAGCTTCCTTTTCAAAACATGCACAAAGAGAAACCGAAGAAAAATATTTTCTTTTTGTTCATAGTTATATATATATATATATATTATTTCTACTTTTCTTTTGCCTTATCAGGACTAATCACTGTCGCTATAGTTAGAGAGAAAAAAAATAAAGAAAAAGACCAAAACGGAAAACAAAGGATATAGATATATACATTAAAATATGAAAGAAAACAATAAATGTTGCAATCACTTGTTCACATCAAGATTTCGGCTTCGGTTTGAATTTGTTGGTGGTGTCATATTGTTCTTTATACGACGATGATCATTACGATGAGCACGATATGCTCGTTCACTTATAAATGTCTAATTGAAAGAGGGAAAACAAATTAAAGATAACAAACTGTCATCACAATCCATGTGGAATTAAAATGTGAAACACATTGTAGCTGTTCTTACTAATCATAGAGAGATTGTTATATTCTATCTATTTTAGGGCACATTATTTATCATCTTTTTACTTAATTCCCTAGAAATACAATAAGGAAGTATTTTCACGCAACATTATTAATATATGAACTGTGATGGTCTCTGGATAACGTCTGTCACAGTTTGTGAGGAAAGTATGATCTGAACTCCTATCTTATATACTTCAACACCCGTTTTAGATTGTATTTCTGAAAAAACTAAAATACTCCTTACCTGTAAGCAATTGTCAATATCACAGCAAAAATGAGCTGTTGAAGAGTTATCACTATTCACTGTTACACTATCATTATCCTAAATAGATTTTCGTTTAAATAAATCAATTTCTTTTGTTTCCTTTTTTCGAATAACCTACGAGACGAAATTCATTCAATGATAATGATGTTTCATCATCAAGTACTTGCTTTTGTAATTGTTGTTTATGTTTTAGGATTTGTAATCGTTTTCGTTTTACTGTAAATAAATTCATTCCTGTTTGTCGAGCTATGATATTTACTTTTGGCATATAATGGAATTCAATACATTGTTTTACACTTTTGGTTCCAACCTTTAATAAATAATTTTAAATGAAATCCTTTTTTTGTGATTCTGAAAGATTAAAAAAAAGAAACATACTGCTCGACTAACAAGTGGAAAATTTTTTTCTAATGTTTCCATTGCTTTTGTAAATGCATCAATTTCTTGTTTATTCCATATCTCACATTTAAGAAAATGATATCGAAGTAATGGTCGACATTGTTTTATATTTTGAGCTGTACCATCAAGTAAAGCAGCTAATGTACGTTGTAAATCACCATTATATTCATGTAATAACATATATACCACTTCTATTGGATATAATGTTGGAGAATGACGTGGAGAAAATAATAAAGGATCTGTTTGACTTAATTGTTCATATGTTTCACGTGATTGTTCATCAAGATATGGAAGTTGAGAGAGGGAATATAATACAGTATCCATCAGAAGTCTTAGGGCATGTGAAAATTCTGGTAAAGTTGAACGGGTTTTCTCAGCAACTTTTTTGCGACAAGTACAGCTCGTAAAACTGTAATCGCAAGCATCAATCCGAGCTCGACTCGACAAAAATAAGAATTGAGTTAGCAGTCAAACACTACTTTCAACTTTGGTGAACTCAATCTCAACACTCACAAAAATTTCTTACTCTGGTTCATCGATCATTTTGAAGCTAGTTATTGTTGCATTCAATATAGGCTTCATGAGAAAGTGATGAAACATCAGAATGACTTTAAATTTGCTCTTAGTCTGCTTATTATGATTGAGTTAGTTCAACATTGATCAAAACAAATGAAAGAACCGCGGTCTGCTATTGTGAGATAGTTCATACTTTTCTTGTTGTTACTTGAACTAGTTACAAGTTATCATGAACAGATTATATTAAAACGTTTAAAACGTTGCTTTAGTAAAGAGTATAATCAACAGATCAGTAGATTAACGCTTGAACACAGCATTCGATATTGCTTGTTTGCATTTATTACCCTTTGATACTCCTAGATCGTATAGGGACACTAATAGCAACAGATTTCTTTTTTTTTACAATATTTAAATAGGAGAACGATGAGAGCTATATAATGAGAGAGGAAAAAAGAAAATAATAAATAACTATATAAATAATAAATAAAGGTCAGAGAACAGATACAATAACATCATGATAGTACAGGGAAAAGAAAGTAGTTTCAAGCTGTTGCATACCAAAGTCTACTGTTCCACACATTACTCCACTGAACGCCAGGCTGTGAATCAGAAAAGAGGGAAGACAGAATACATAACACTAATATTAAAAAGTTTGTGGGAAATAGACAAAAATATCTATATCCTTACATTCAATAGCTGAGAGAGATGAGATCATACTGTTTTTGAGCACCAGTCCAAACATATTGCTCATACACTATTACGATTAATAAATCTACAACTTTCCATAGTGTTTATGAGATTGTAGGTCGGTTCAATTGATTGCTCATTGTACTATTTCTTTATGACATTAACCAAATCTTTAAGTGTTGTTGGCCGCCGCTGGGCTGTCTTGATCTTGTGTAAAGAGCACATGTTATCAATTGGATTTATATCAGAACTCATTGATAGTCGGACGAGTACGACGATTTGACGGTCAGACACTCATATACGGCTATGCTTTTACCAATGTTTTAGATCGTTTCCCTCGAGCAAAAATCACTAAGATCGATCGAAATGTTGAAGAGTCAAGGAAAGAAGAGCTTTTTTGATGGATTTTGTGACAGAGAAATTCGCTGTCAAGTTGTTCCTGGAGCAAAATATTCGTCTGAAACTTTTCTTTTAGATAAACAACCTCGAATATGGACCTTCAACGAAGATCTGACACTGCGAACGACTTTTCGCTCGCCAGGTCGCTGCTATGTATACTTTTTAGTGACATGAAGACGAATCAACGTTTCATCAGTCGGTATTGCCTGGTTACAATCACAGTTCTCCATTGACTTTGGCTACGTCAAACGGTGCAGCCGATGTCATTTTTTGAGTAAAGGTTTTGACACAGACTTCGAGAATCATGTCAACCTTCATTTTATCTTGATGAACAGTGGTTGTTCGTAGCCCCTCGGATCGAAGACGATCGGAGAAATCTTTCGTTTTCTTCTAACGATCGAGTTGGCGGGTCATGAGCTTAGGATTACATTTCAAAATCTTCGTATTTTATCAGAACCGAGATGTGGACTGTATTTTGTTTTGTTAGTGAGAAAAACGGTCTCGCAGCATGTATGAAGAGGAAGGGACATTACGCAAAGGAACTTGAGTATAGCATAAATGAATGGAGTTCCACTACTTCTGTCCTTGTCTCTCTTGGTTGCTGTTGATAAAAGCTAACCAAGGACTACGACTGGCCAGTCCTTAATCAGTTCCGGGTGAGGTCGCCATACACCAGTATGAACAGAATATTACCACGTTGTGTCTAATGTTTACTTCGATCACTTTTGAACTAACTCGATCATAATAAGCAGACTAAAAGTCAAATTTAAAGTCATTCTGATGTCGCATCAGTTTCTCATGAAACTTATATTGGAGATGTAAGAATAACTAACTTCAAGATGATGGATGAACCAGACAAAAAATTTTGTGAATGTTAAGATTGAGTTCACCAAAGTTGAAAGTAGTGTTTGACTTTTGACTCAATTCTTATTTTCATCGAATCGAGCTCGGATTGATGCTTGTGATCACAGTTTTTCGAGCTGTACTTGTGGTAAAAAAATTGGTGAAAACCGTTCAACTTTACCAGAATTTTCACATGTTCCGGGACATCTGACAAGTACTATATTTTCTTTCACATCTCAGTTGGACACTGCTATCGTCATGGTACAGATTATATAATGTTACTCCTATCAAAGCTATCGGTTCTATCTGGTCGAAATATTAATCTGATGTGAAAATGCTTTGCACCATATCAAGAATATATAAAATACAGAATCAATGTCAAAGAGAAAATGACTTCTGTAACTAGTCTACAGTCGTTTATCGGACATTTGCATAAAAAAGTAGTCAGTTTTTTAATTATTGACTTTTTTTTAGTTTTTCTCATAAGCGATACTTTAACCATGTGAGTCTTGTGCAAATATTCAAAAAATTTGATTGAGTTGAACATTTACTATTCCGAAACTAGAAAATATTTATGACTGACATATTGGTGAAACAGAAACTATGCGAAACTTTCCGATGAAGAACTCTTTTCGTCATGAATCACAACTAATTATGTAGAAAACTAAATCATATGTTGATTGAACAAACGTGTTGTTGAAATTGGTCACCCTCAGTCTCTGCTGAAGTGCAACGGATCTTCTAAAAGTTTCAACTGCAAATATAATGCAGAAGAAGTCGATCATTCATAGATCTTTTGCATTTTCTATTCACCATCAACTTTCCGAGATCATATAACGCCCTCTTTTCTCGACGGTAAATAAATCAACGCGTTGCTTCTGTGCACACTAATGCATTCATTATAACACAAAACTTCACATTTCAGACAAACATATATTCTACAATGTAGCATTTTCGTCACTACAATAGTAAGACTGCTGCAACAACTGACTCTATACAAGTGCATATTATTATTCATGAGCATAGTATCTCATTATCGCATCTTCACTGGATATACTGTGTTCAAATGGTAATATCAAATATCAAAGCTAGACTGCAAAGCATTTTTGAAAATTTTTATGTTTCTAGTGTATTTTACAGTATGCAACTATTTTTGAACAAAAGTCGAGTAGAATGATTGGAATTCAGTGGAGACAAATCTAAAATATGAATTCACGTATTTATTCTGGACCACCCAATATGTCTACTTTTTTTTTTTGGAGTCAAAGCCTTTTTATTAAGATGTTACAAAGAAAAAACAAAAATATAATACAGAAGGCTGGAGAGAAACGGCGAGACGCTTGACGAGTGTCTTATGTCTCGTGAAAGTGGTGAAAAGTTGGAAGTTGTAATAATGGAGTATATGTTGCAAAGTTAAAGTTAGCGATTCCGATATAACAATTGTTGCATGTATTCGGGCGACTCAACAATGGTCGATAATATCGATGTTATATATAATATACATGGTGGGTAGGTGATTGTTTTTTAAAGTTTGTCAAATATTTCTTGGAGGTTGTTTTTTAATAAATTGTCGTTGTTAGCTGTTGCTGTTTGAATATAACGTTTCAGAATTGTAACGGCATATTCTTTAATTTTGGGAATGTTGGTGATTCGATGTATATATTCGGTGGATGTATATATGGGTAATCCTAAAGCAGCACGAATGGCTTTGTTTTGCATAGTTTGTAATCTTTCCCATATTTTATCATTTGCTGTAAGGAGAATTGGGTAACCGTATATTATAATAGTTCTTGCTATTGATTTGAAGATATTTAACATTATTTTGTCGTTGGGTTCGTATGCGGTTCTGTTTAGGAATCTAAGCAGACTTATACGACCAGCGATCTTCGATTCAATATGATGAATATGACTTCTCCAATTTAATCTTTTGTCGATGATAATTCCTAGGTATCTTGTTGAATCTGATGGTTTAATGATTGTATCTTCTATTTTAACATTTATTGGATTTTTAAATGTTCTTCTTGGATGGACAGTAAAGTGGACTAATTCAGTTTTTGTAGGTTGTAATTTTAATTTCCATGATTTGCACCAACTTTGGAATGCATCTATGGATTGTTGTAATCTGCTATTTAGGCTTGTTGTGGTGTTTGACGATGTCCATAGTGCAGTATCGTCAGCAAATAAACCATGTTCTGTGTGATCGGGTATTCCATTCATTGAATCTGCCGTGTATACAATATAAAGTAAAGGTGATAATGGAGATCCTTGTGGAGTGCCGCTATTTAAGTTGAATGGTTTCGATAAGTTATGTTCAATTTCGATCGAAGCAACTCGATTTTGTAGAAATGACATGAGATAATTCATTACATATTGTGGAAGATGTAATTCATTTAATTTGTATATCAACCCATCATGCCATACTGAATCAAAAGCAGCTTTAATATCAAATAATATGACAGCTGCATGTCGTCGACGACCAGTTCCGTATACGTGATGTTTTGCATATTTAGTTAGCCTTATGATGTTATTTAAGGTGCTTTTTTTAGGTCGGAAACCTGCTTGATGTTCTGGCAAGATGTTTCGTTTATCCAGTATAACCATCAGCCGTTGCTTCATTATTTTTTCCAGTAGCTTGCCGAGGCAACTAAGGAGACTTATTGGTCGATAACTTGAAGGATGTTGCTTATCTTTATTAGGCTTTAACAACAGTATAATATTAGCCTTTTTCCATTCATTTGGGATATAACCAATATTTAAAATAGAGTTAAATAATGTAGTTAAATGTTGAATAAATAATTCCGTGTAGTTCTTCAAACATCTGTTATGTATGTTGTCAGGGCCACAGGAGCTATTGCGAAGTTGTTTAATATTCCATTTAACTTCTTTAATTGTGATCTTCTTCCACTTATTTAGTTTCGTGTTAGAAGATCTGTTTTTGATGTTGTACGTTTGCCTTGTAACTTGCTGATGAAATGGTATAGTGTCAGGTGGTTTTATATACACTTCATTTTGGAAATAATCAGCAAATAGATCGGCTTTTTCCTTGTCTGATGTTGCTATATCATTATTGTATTTGATGTTATGAACATGAGTTTGTTTGATTCGCTTATTGTGGAACTTGCGAACTGTCAGCCATACTGAGTCTGAATACATTTTCCTTTGACATAATGATGACATAAGTGTGTTAAAGTTGTTTTTTCTGTCGTTTCTAAGTGAATTCGTTAATAGCACCTTGTATTTATAATATTGTTGTTTTTCACTATCTTCTCCAGTTTTCTTCCATTTACGATAAGTTTTATGTTTGAGCTGGATCAGATGTTTGGTTGCTTCACTTAGTTTAATGTTTGTATTCAGTTGTTTCGATGTTGGTATGGCTTCTTGTGTTGCTGAAGTAATGCTGTTGGTAATGAACGATGTGTATTCTTCAATATCTAATGCTGAATTGATGAGATGATTTTTGTTCCATAGCATTAGTTGTTCATTTAATTTACTTCTGTATTTTGGCCAGTTCGCTGCTTTGAAGTTGAGGGATAATCTTGGAGATGGTGGTTTTGGTTCAGTTCCAATTGGGATATCGAAGGTTAATGGTTTATGACCACATAATGTACCGATTGTTGGATGTGTTTCGACGTTTGATATTAATGCAAGAAGTGGTTGACTGGCTAATATCCAGTCAAGTTTTTCTTCATAATCATTCTTTTCAAATGTTGTACTAACATCATCTATACAATTAATATAACCTTCATTGATTACCTCTTGTAACTGTCTTCCTCTTGCATTTGTTCTTCTTGAGCCCATATTGTATAATGTTGCATTAAGGTCACCTACTATAATGCAGTTGTTGTTTAAATTGTACAATTCATTAAAGGTGTTGATGTGGATTTTCGCTGTTGGTGGTACATAAATCGATGCAATTAATACGTTCTTTAATGATTGTGTAGCAATTTCAATAGCAATAATTTCGTTCTTTGCGATAGTTTTGTTAAGTATTTCACTACATTTAATATGACGTTTGACTGCAAGTAATACTCCTCCACCCGGTTTTCCTACTCGGTCATTTCTGAAAATGTTGTAACCTTTCATAGAGAACGGTTGATCTCTTTTCAGGTTAGTTTCATTTACAGATATGACGTCGTATTTGGAGAATCTGGCAAGGAGTTCGTCTTTGTGTTTTCGAATAGTGGTGATGTTAATATGACAAACACTAATCTTCATTAATATTTGATTTTAATTCTTTGTTATCAGTTGTAGTGGAATCTAACGAGCTGTTGGGTGAACGATTTCGCTTGACTGTTTTTGATGTTGTTTTTGGTTTACGTTGGGCTTTAACTGGCATATCGGTAGTAATAGCTGGTGGATTTGTTGTTGTTGTAGTTAATGTGGATGATGTGATGTTTTTGACCTTTATCGGTTTTATCGTAACTGAAGATTGTTTTTGTTGTTGTTTAGCCTTTTTGTTGTTTAATACTTTAATATCATCGTCGCTCTCCGAATCACCAAAAGAGTCGATATTCATATCGTCGTCGCTGATGATATTTTCCACTGCTGCAACGGTCTTTTCGATCTTCTTGATTCTTTGCTGAAGAGATTTAATTAGACGACTTGTTGTTTCTTCAATAATCTTTTCCATTTTACTAGAAAGTATGTTAACAAGTTGATCCAAGAAATCATTATGTAAATGTTCTTGTGTTCGATGTGTGAAACTTGGTAATGATGGAAATTCTTGAAGATCATTTAATGCTGGTGGTAATGCCGTCTTATAAGACGTGGTATATTGATTGACCAAACTTTGCAGTCTTTTTTCTTGTTCTATATATTTCGAACAAACATTAGATGTAGCTAAGTGATTACCTTTACAATTGTAGCATTTCAATAAATCCGAAACAGCAGTACATTGATCCATTTGGTGGTTATCACCGCATCGAGAACATATCTGTTGCTTGTTTTTACAATACTTTGCTACATGATTGTATTGAAGGCATAAATAACATTGCACCGGCTTGGTGTTTTGTGTTGCTGGTTCAGCTACGAAATGCATTGAATCCACCTGTAGACCAGTATGTACGAATGCGTTTCG